ATGAAAAAGTGAGGTTGCCTTACAAAAAAATTTCATTTATTAAATCAAATTTCCCAAAACAATGGTAAACAAAATGAACGTTTTTCACCATTTGTGACTCATATTAGTGAACATTTTCAGTCACATTCACTCAAACACATTTTGAGTTTCATTTACTGTTGGAAAGAGGTTCTTAGCATTCTAAAGACATCACAATATTGTCTTTGTACTCCAAATATTAAGCAAGATACATCATATTGAACTGTCACTAAACATCACTGAACTGTGATTTTGAGAAAAAGGCTTCCAAAGAAAGTGTCCCAGTTCACTGTTGGTGCCTTTACATGCCAACATTTGTAGTCTAACCACCTCATTTGGTGTTTTTAAGTTCTCTTTTCTTGTTCAGTGAGAGAAATCTAGTCTCTGCTGGGCTTTAACGAGTGCATCAAAGTCAGGTTGAATGTCTGAGGTGGAGATGCGAAGCACAGCTGACAGATGATCATCAGTGAGAGAGGATCTATACCTGGATTTCGTAAACTTCATAATTGAAAATGTTTGTTCACATATGTATGCGTGTCCATGCACTCGTTTACCTCCGTGAACAGATCGCTCCCTGTCGTCGTCCCTTTCATCGACCGCATTGCTGCCAGCTCCTCCGTAATCTTGAAGTCCGGTGTTATCCCGCGGACGAATACGAGTAACTGGGCTGTGTCGCGGACATCACAGCTCTCGTCCAAAGCCAAGGAGAAAAAGTCGTAACTTGCCACTTCACGTTGCAGCTGAAGCTCCAGATTCCCCGCAATGTCCTCGATCCTTCTAGTCACGGTTCGCCTGGACAGCGGGACTTGCTCAAATGCGGCTTTTTTTTCAGGGCATGTTAGTGCTGCAGAGTCCACCAAGCACTCTTTGACAAACTCCCCCTCCGAGAACGGCTTACTGTTTTTAGCAATTTTGTGGGATATCACAAAGCTGGTCATGGTTGCTGCATCACTGGATGTGTGAAGCTTGGTAAAAAAGCCTTGCTGCTTTTGCAGCTTAGCTAGCAAAGCTTCCGATGTCCGCGCCCTTTCAGCGTCAGTCAAGTTTTTATATTTCTCCGCGTGTTTCGTCTCGTAATGTCGACTCACATTGTACTCCTTAAACACGGCGATCTGCTCCCCGCAAACTAAACACACGGTTTTACCTCCGACTTCAGTAAATAAATACTTAGCAGTCCAATTTTTGTTGAAAACCCTGCATTCAGCATCTACCTTTCTTTTTTTAGCGGACATTTTTTTGAGGGCTAAAGTCGTCTTGTGACAAGGATCCAATAATGTGCACGTCTTGATATACGTATTGCGTCATTATGCACGTGAATAAAAAACAACTTCAAAATAAAAGCAATGCAGCTTTAGTCCATGCATGAGGTAAAGTTAGAAAATATGTTTATTTTGTAATTTCCAATTAGCCTTACACGGGCCGGTCAGAGTCAACCAAAGGGCCGTATGTGGCCCGGGGGCCGTACGATGCCCAGGTCTGGTCTATAGTGTGTATTGACTTTGACCGTCTAGTCATTGTTGGTGATTTTAACATCCATGTTGACAACCCCCAGGACAGAGGGGCTAAATAACTGTTTTGTGTTCTTGATAACTATGGACTGACTCAGCATGTGACGGAGCCCACGCACAATAAGGGGCACACTCTGGACTTAATGATCTCAAAGGGTCTGGATATCTCTACGGTTGTGGTGACTGATGTTGCACTCTCTGATCATTCCTGTCCTGAGAGCTCTATTTCTGTTCACAAAAATGTTCAAAAAGAGGTAACCACAAAGAGATAAGATAAGATAAGAGATAAGATCTTTAATTTGTCATTGTACAAGTACAACAATGTGAACTCAAGGTGCCAACGCGCAACAACAAGACAATATAAAAACAAGACAATATAAAAACAAGAAATGGGACTTAAATAGAAATGAAAGGGAAGCGATGTTTAACTGAAAATACTAGGGAAATGTTTACTCAGAATTTTTCATCCACACTTGCCCCTGCTAACATCTCAGTAAATGAGCTAGTAGATCGTTTTAATTCAAAAATAAAAAAATGTATAGATGCCATTGCTCCAACTAAGGTAAAGGAAGTGTCTGGCAAGAAAATATCTCCATGGAGAAAGGCCATGACCGTGAGAACAGAAAAAAGAGTGTGTCGAAAAACTGAACGTAGGTGGCGAAAAACAAATCTCCAGGTTCATTTTAACTGCTGAAACAACATCCATAACATTCATCTGCTACTTAGTAATTATTTATCTATTTATCTAATAAATCATATTCCAATAACTTGCATATAGACTCTTATTGCACTATTTCACTTTTTTAAACTACTTGCACTATATTTCTGTTTATCTGTGTTATTGTGTTGCACTGTTGGACGAGCCTGTGACCTAAGATGTTCATCGTCATAACTACACTGTAGCTATGTTCGGATGACAAAATAAAAACCTTGAACCTTGTTATGCATGCCCGCCAAAAAGGAAATCATATCGTTTCCAAACCTAACTTTTTTAGGTCAATGCAGTTCAATTTGCTGAATTAATTTTAAACCCCCCTTTCTCCATGACAACCAAACAACCAATAAGATGGTTACAGGTTAAAATCTCCAGAAAAAGCAAGTGAATGAACCCTGGAGTTGTAAATCTAAGAGGGCATATTGACTGATTAATCAACCCTGAAGTCACAAAGCATGCATTTGCAGAGACTTCCTGAGAAAGATTTATTTTGGGAGCTTCTAGCAGGTTTCTCTGAGAACGCTTTTTGCTTATTGTGTTCGAGAGGTAGTTTCCTGTGTGAAGTCTCAGCAGAACCAATGTGAAAACTACAAAGTGAGACTATACAAACTAACCTGGCTATGAGAAATGTATTTGAAAGCGTATGTGTTTGCAGGATTGTTGCTGAATTTGTATCCTCGTGGTTGATTGCAATTATATTGTAAAAACCTTTGGATGAAGGTCAAATGTAAAAGAAGTTGTTGATTAAAAATATATTAGGAATATGCTCATATGTTTTTTTATATTAAATAAAAATAATCATGGCTGGTCACACCTTTACCCACACAAACAAACAAACAAACAGCTGATGGTCACACAGCTGGGGGAGTTTAACATTAAATACAGAAAGTAAGATGGCGTTATATAGAAATGACAGAACTACAAAGTGTACTCACTGAGAACGAAGAAGATCAAACTGTGGCAGACGTCCATGTTCCAGTCTCTGATGGTTGAACGCTGCCTCTCTTTCTTCTTCACCGGCAAACCAACACGTTTTCACTTCTCTAAACGATGGAGTCCCTGCTTAAAATAAAACACTCACAGCTTGACTCTCCTCTAACACCTGCATGTGTATCACGTATGGTTTCACTTTAAAACTTTGTAACTTAATTCAGGAACATAATATATTCAGTTTTTAACATTTAAAGGGGACCTATCATGCAAAATGCACTTTTATACGTCTTTTATACATGAATATGTGTCCCCGGTGTTCCAGGGAACTCACCAAGTGTCAGAAAACACAACCCTCTCTCTTTTCCTCCATACCCAAATCTCTAAAAACGGGGCTGCAACGGATCTGATAAAAACTGATCCAGATTTGAACATTTCTCTGACGTCAGGACGGAGGAGCTGACCTATCAGGGGAATGAGAGGTTGCCGTGGCATGGTAACAGCATGGTAACACGACGCTCGTAACTCGGCCCCCTCCTTTGCAGGGGGGCGTGGTCAGCTGCAGCTCATGCAAAGACAGGGTGGAGGAGAGCAAAATAGAGCGAGGCATGGCTAAAATGCATGATCTGTTTGGTATTTTGAAAAAGAAAACGTATAAATATACCTTATATAGGTATGGCCCTACAATATATTATTCAAATATAGCATTATAGGTCCACTTTAAATTATTAAATTATTGTGAAACACATTTCAGAAATAATTTAAGATAACTTTTATTTGTATATGTAGGAAGTGTGTTGTGCAGCAGATGCAGTACAGAGCAGGAAGAGTGCTAATATAAAATACAATATAAAAAATAAAACTCTATAAAAAAAAAGGTGCAAATCCAAATATATATATAAACAATACAAACAGGTTAAAAGTCTGACACATTACACAACAGTATGAGGAATGGCATCTTTTATCCCGTACTGACCACATCTATAGTTTCATATGTATTTATTTATATTCCGCTACAATTAAACATTTATTTAAATTAAGCCTTTCACCAAAATAGGCAATTTAATAGTCAAAGCTATTTCGAAGCAACATATATTATGCTAATCTGCTAACTTGACTAGAACAGTTTACCTTACAGAGATAACTTTAATACCATATCAAGTGTAATAAAATGAACTTTATAAATAAATTGAAGCCATAAAAGAGCTTTTTACATTAAACTACATATCATTTAGCTGAGGCTTTTATCCAAAGGGACTTACAATAAGTGCAACCAGCTTTGACCTGAAGCAAACTGTTGAAGCGGCACATTTGTGAACTAGAGCAGAGCTGGACTTATCATCACATGAGCAGGTCATTCAAAGCAGGTTTGAAATAAGTAAATGGTGAAAGGGGACCTATCATGCAAAATGCACTTTTGTACGTCTTTTATACATGAATATGTGTCCCCGGTGTTCCAGGGAACTCACCAAGTGTCAGAAAACACAACCCTCTCTATTTTCCTCCATACCCAAATCTCTAAAAAAGGGGCTGCAACGGATCTGATAAAAACTGATCCAGATTTGAACACTGTCCTGACGTCAGGACAGTTGCGCAACGCTATTGGGCCAACTCCACCAATCAGGAGGAGATAGCCACGACCATTGCCGTCGCGAAAGCGCTGGAGACGCTGTAGTACATATGCCAGGCCTCTAGATGGTGCTGTTCTCACAGAATCAGCCCTTGCAAAAACAGAGCTAAAAAAGTGCAAATTGAGCGAAATGAGGCATGGCTAAAATACATGATCTGTTTGGTATTTTGAAAAAAAAAAAAGTATAAATATGCCTTATATAGGTATGGTCCTACACTATATTATTAAAATATAGCATGATAGGTCCACTTTAAATAATCGTACATATTCCCACAAACATCTCTCTGTTTCAGAATATTTACACGGCTGCTTAATTCAGTGTGAGAGTTATTGGGGGTTGTTAACAGTAGAGTACAGAGGGGGCTCATCAGAGCTAGCTTCCACCTGAGTAACAGAGTAGATAACACACTCAGCGTCACCGTGGAAACCGCTGTGGGACGAGCCCACGCTGACAAATTTGATCTCAGAGTATGTGTGTTGACTCGGGTCGTCTTCAGCCTGGAGGAAAAAACATTGCTTGATTAAATGTGTCTTTAAAAACAGAACAAAACAAGCAACTGGACTTCGTTGTGAAGTTACGAAAGAAACTTTCAGAAGTTGTGTTTCTTTACGTATTTTATTCATATTTACACGTATTATATTACTGCAGACATTGTCCGAAATGAATCAAAGCCAAATCTGGTATTTCAGTAAATAGGAATAGGAAGCAGCAACAGGTACAAACATGTAGCCCTACCGAGCTAATGTTTTGTGATCCAAAAGTTAAAGTTGTATAACATTTTTTGGTGTATTTTGTAAACTAGCTGCAGTGACATCGTTGTAGTAATCATTGGTTTTGTCTCAATTTGGTTGTGTTTATTTGGCGTAAGTGTAAATTGAAGAGATTTCCCCAGGAGATCTCACATAGACCCTCGTACACTTAGTGGGTCTACAGAAGAATGTATTAATATGATGCTCAGATTTCCTCAAACTCACCTCTGGTGCAGAAGCACATTGTGTTTTCTCATGAGGTTCTGAAAAACACAACAGACCTTTGAGAAAAAGACTCAGAACAGATTTTCAAACATGACATCACACATTCCCCATTTGGACCAATATTTAGGCCAACTGTTCAAATCTGAGTAAAACAAGATAAATAGATGTGTTTTGTAAACAACAGAATATACAGTATATTTAATCATTAACCATCCTGCCAAATTTAAACTATTAAAACAAATGTAATAAGTATATAAAATAAGGTTTCAATTAAAAAAATAACAAGCTATGGCTTTACATGTTTCTAAAATGCATATTGTCTTGAAAAAAAGCCTCTGATCCTCTGACTTCACTGAGTCTCCAAAATAGAGGAAGCTATCCTTTTAGCTCTCTCTATTTGTGTGTGTTTGTAAAGCTTATTTTTATAAATGGCATACGTTTTGTAGATAGACTGATTTGCAGTCAGGTGTGATATAGATTTAAATGTGTGTTTTTTTTCATATGGTATTATTGTTTAGTTGCATACAGTAGATAGTACTAGACTATGTTCTATGTTTGTGATGTTGCAATTTACAAAGCATAAATCTAGCATCTGCTTCCTCTGCAACAACTGAAGGATTGTCACTCTACAAGAACCAGTGATAACAAAACCTTTAGACTGAGCAGCAGTTGGGTTATTCTTAATGCTGTAAATGAATATCCGTACACCCAGTCTGGTGATGGGGGATGGACATTTTTTGTGAGAAAGTTATTTTACAATTGTGCGTCTGCTTTTAAAGTTAATATAGGTCAAGAGAAAACTACAACTTTTCAGTGAGAAATGTTTAGTGTGTGTGTGTGTGTGTGTGTGTGTGTGTGTGTGTGTGTGTGTGTGTGTGTGTGTGTGTGTGTGTGTGTGTGTGTGTGTGTGTGTGTGTGTGTGTGTGTGTGTGTGTTACCTGGTTCCTCACTTTTGGCTTTACAAATCCTCTTCCTGCAGAATACCAGCACACACAGTGATGACACGATGACCAGGACGACCAGAGTCAGAGACACATACAGGATCACATCTGTGGCTGTTTGAAGAGTTAAATGTAAACCATGACATCTAACACTTGAGTACCCATAATCCATTTTGTTTTTCAAGGGGGGGACAGGTTATCTTTAGGTGAAGACAACAGGTCAACAGTATTTGCCATATACTGTCGAAGTAGAGTAAATCTTTAAAACACTGGGAACCTGATTTGGAGGTTCAGCATTTTAAAATCTACTTTTGTAAACTTTTGGACATTCTCATGCTCTCAAGTTGTTGAAACGTTATCTAGTAAACACAGTGTGTGGATGTACCTTTAGTTGTTTCAGGCTGCTCTGTAGTTTTAGGAGAAGTGGTCAGAGCTGTGAACAAAAACAAGCAGACACAAAGAAGTCCTGATGAGAGAAATTAGATCCTCCTGAGTGTCTGTGAGTGTCAGCTGAACTCTTTTAAATTGAGAGTTTAAAACATCAGCAGCTGTCAGTGAAAACTGTCTTCAGAGACATGAACAAACATTTTCATTATGAAGCAGAAACTTACCATCAGTGACGTTGAGCCTAAACCTCTGGTATAGATCGTTAGAGGAAGTTCTGTCCAGACCACACCTGTACCATCCTGAGTCAGACTGGGTCAGCTGGTTGATGCTCACATACACAAAATCTCCTGTTGGAATTATTTGAGTATATCTGATCCTGTATCTGCCTTTTTCCTGATCTGATTTACTAGTCGTTTCAACAAGATTGTCTCCTTTTTTACATTCTCCCTTGCAGAAGTACTTCTTGTATCTATATTGAGTAAAGTTGCATCGAACTACAATATTTCCTCCAGTTCTAGCATCGATTGTTTTTTCTGCAGAAGGATCACCATCCAGCATTGCTGTTGAAAAAAACAAACAATCAAAAGTTACAATGTGTAGATTACAAATCTTAGTTTCACCATGTGTGTGTTTTAAAAACTTGATCCAGTCACTGAGGGTTAAGGTGTGACTCTTTAATGAAGGCTTTTTAACTTAAAGGTCCCATGACATGGCCATTTCTACTGATCATAATTCCATTGTTGAGGTCTACTAGAATAGATTTATATTGTTCAATGTTCCAAACTCACATTGGTTTCTCATACAGCATCTCTGTATAGTATGTGTATTCACTCTCTGTCCTAAACGGCTTGTTGGAGCCCCTGCCCCCCCCTCCCTGTGAGCCCACTGTGCTCTGATTGGTCAGCTCGCCCACTGGCTCGCTGCTGCGAGGAGCTGGCTTACTGGTGTGGTTTCCTGCTTGCTGCGAGACAGCGAGACATCACGAATGGACGCGGGAAGGGGGGGGGGGGTGCTGAGGGGGCTGTAGCATCTACGAGTCTCCACAAGACTCCCCCTCCCCCCCCACCGCGGCGCACCTACAGTGTAATCGCGCCACAGTTTCGCCGGGCTGCGAGGCTCCACTAGCACCCCCCCCCCCCCCCCCCACAGCGCGTCACATTTTCGCCGCTAAAAGAGTGTGTGTGAGGAGCTCCACGACCAATGGGTCCATTTGGGTATGGGCACGTCACTGTACTCAGGAAGAAGACAATGGACAAATATAAATCTCCAACGAGGCGTTTTGGGGCAGCATAGACCAACACAGTCTCACTCCCTGAAAGTCCAGGAGCGACGCTTGGTCAGGGTCCTATGGCGTGCAGTTGTGACGCGCCGAGGCTCCTTCAGCTTCATAAACGGACGCAAAGAGCTTTCAACTGATTGCAATGTATTCCCATCGGCGGCGGTATTTGACGCTCAGGGAAGCACCGCATCGGTCCATGTCGGTGGCATTTAAAGGCAATGTGAGCGTCCATTCCCATTGGATAACGGAGGATTTTACACCCAGAAGTAACTATTCTCCTTACTGTCGATTGATTTTACAGTGATATCTGCACTACTCATGAACTCAAAAACACCAGATTATCCTTGTTAATTACACAACATTGATTGGTTTAAATTGTGTACAATGTTTTTGTATTTTTCCCCTTCGATTCGGAGAAACAAATATTTTTTCGGAGTTTAGGATGGCAGAAGACACTACACTACCCAGAATCCTCAACTATCATTTGGGACTACACCATGTGCTTTGCTCGACAAACCCCGTGACTAGTCCTCAAGCTCTGTGATTGGTTGACCTCCAACTGCATTCCATATGAAAAAAAAACGTTTCGTAAAAGATAAAATCATACTTTATTCAGCAGTGCTTGCTTTACTCTTTGAAAGTCATCACATGAATGCATTGTAATAAATGGTTCAGCTGCATTAAACATTACACATCTGTCGTATTTCTTTATTTATCTACAGAGATCGGGCCTCAGAATAGACCGGAAACTATTCTTTTACCGTTCTGTTTTAATTTCACAATAAAGTTAGTAGTAATAATTTGTTTTGATATTATTGTTTTTTATTAACTACTAGACCGCTGGGTCATGTTAAGACCATCTTTTCTGTGTTGCTGTGGGTTTTTTACATCGCTTTTGTGTTACAAATATCAAAACAATAACAGAATATATCCGTCGTAAACTAAACCGGAAACAGCAGTATATTTTATTTTGTTAACACTGTAAACTTGACAGCTTTTTAACCCGCACCTCCTACTGGTTAAAGCACGTTATTACACGTTTAGAGTAATTGCAATGCAGGTAGATTGTGTTGCTTTTTAATGACTGTTTTAAAATACCTTTTTCTTAATGTCTTTCATTTTTGTAAAGCACTTTTGAATGTGTTATATTTTATGAAAACATTTAAATATTAAGAGTACATACAAAATAGGAGGAAAGTAGAAGGTCAATGATAGTGGGATAGTGGTGGTCTAATGGATAGTGAGGTGGGCTGAAGATCGGAAGGTTGTGAGATCCCGCCTGGGACACCACTACTAGTGTGTCCTTGAGTAAGGCACTTAGTCCTTAGTTACTCCAGGGAGAATGTCCCTGTAATTGGTAATTGTAAGTCGCTTTGGATAAAAGCGTCAGCTAAATGAAATGTAATGTAATAGTAATAGAAGATACTGTAAATGATATCTAGAATAAAACAGTTTAGTGCCGGATGTACACAGATATTAATAGGAGGATGTGCAAAACAGACAAACTAATTAGGCTTTATTTAAACATTAAATAATACTTTAGGTTAAGGTATTCTTTTAAATACATGTAAGCACTTATTTTAACCGATATTATACATATTATTTATACTCTTATAAGATGTATGTAGATAGAATAAGAAATGTGCAGAATATGACAGTTTAATGGTGGAGGTACACACATATTGATAGATGTCTTGTTGAGGAACCTATGACCCAAGTTTGTCATCATTGCATAACTACACCGTAGTTGTGTATATGATATGTCAATAAACCTTTGAAAATCTTGAAATCTTGAAAGGGATGTGCAAAATAGCCATTATATACAGTTTTTGATGAACGATTAGAGAATAACGAGTAATGAATATACTTTATAGGGATCTGCAGATACATTTTTTGTCTTCTCAAGAACCAACTATCAAATATCTCGCTTGATTGTTGGCACTTAACAATCACCTTCACTGAATTTTACTCAGGTGTAACTAAAGTCTGATTTAAGGGTTGTTTATATTTCATCTGTATAGACTCTTATTGCACTCTTTCACTTTTTACTATTTTACTATTTTTCTTTTTGTATTTACTTGCAGTATTTTTTCTGTGTATCTTTTTTATTGTGTTGCACTGTTGGAGGAGCCTGTGACCAAAGGGGGGGGTTTTGGTTAGTGTGCCGTCGATGGGATTCATTCCATTTCAAAGTGCTGTTTGACGCTCGGTGTAAACTTCTCGCACTGCCACTCCAACATCCAATCACAGAGCTTGAGGACTAGTCACGGGGTTTGTCAAGCAAAGCACAGGGGGTGTTTCTCAATCGCGAGTATGCTTGCTTGGTAGCACATGTCTGCCGAGCATCTTGCTTCAGAAGCGAGGCAAGAATACTTCCTGCCATTCGGAAAACAAAGAGTGGAACACGCTAGCAAGTGTGCAGGTGTGCGTCATATGAGAGGCCCCGCCTTACATCTTCCGCCACAGATTTGGGGAAATTGGTCCGTGCGCAAAGCATTGTGGGGATTTTAAGACCGCGAAGTCTACTCATGTGCAGCCTCGATATTTCTCCAAACGGAGTACGCCGGGCTCGGTAGATTTCCAAGTATGCTGGAGATTGGAACAGTACTTCGGCGGCACTCGATGACATAGTATGCTTGAAATAGTGGCTCTGAAGCAGCTTTACTCGCGATTGAGAAACACCCATGGTGTAGTCCCAAACGATAGCTGAGGATTCTGGGTAGTGTAGTGTCTTCTGCCATCCTAAACTCCGAAAAATATTTGTTTCTCCGAATCGAAGGGGAAAAATACAAAAGCATTGTACACAATTTAAACCAATCAATGTTGTGTAATTAACAAGGATAATCTGGTGTTTTTGAGTTGATGAGTAGTGCAGATATCACTGTAAAATCAATCGACAGTAAGGAGAATAGTTACTTCCGGGTGTAAAATCCTCCGTTATCCAATGGGAATGGACGCTCACATTGCCTTTAACTGCCGCCGACATGGACCGATGCGGTGCTTCCCTGAGCGTCAAATACCGCCGCCGATGGGAATACATTGCAATCAGTTGAAAGCTCTTTGCGTCCGTTTATGAAGCTGAAGGAGACTTGGCGTGTCACAACTGCACGCCATAGGACCCTGACCAAGCGTCGCTCCTGGACGTTCAGGGAGTGAGATTGTGTTGCATAGACAGGTCTTTTCTGTGTTAGAGTTTTACTCGCTACAGGGTGTACTTTGAGGGTTTGTGACTCTGCAGACCGTTCACATGCAGAAAAACCTTCATAACACACAAGGGGACAGGTAATAGCCGGAAAAGCATGACATGGGACCTTTTCATTCTTCCAAGAGATTTAGAAAATCATTATTTTACACTGTGCTCACAATTGGATTTTATATCATTATATTTTGAATTTATATTAGATAAGAATGCTTTAATAAAATAGTTGGCTTTGACATTTTTATTATAAATAGTATCTGATTAAGGTTAACTGATAATTCAATATGTGAACTTTAGGATGAAGATTTGTTGCAAATAGTGACATTTATTTTTTTAATAATTTCTTTATCCCTTGAAATGATCATTGTTATATTATTACTTACTCTGAGTTTCCTTGAATTCATATGCTCATAACTTCCCTAAAACATGACTTATCTAAACACTTCTGCATTAACTGTGCTTGAGAAAAGATGAGCTCGTCTCTTTAAGCAGAAGTGTTTTAAATGGTGAGGTTTAAGCAGAATGCATGTTTTAGGGAAGTACTGAGCATACAGTGAATGACATTTGGACTAAACAGCATTAGTTGTGTTAGAGTTAGTTAACGGATGTTTTAATATATTTTTGCTGTTGTAAAACACGGGCCCGAATTAATTTCACTTTCTTTAAGACTTTTCTCAATTTTGGGATTCTTTGTTCACCGTGGAGTCATGCTAGAAAAAGTTATCAAATTCAAGATGATCTGAAAATGGTAATTTGGGGCTAAAGTATTCCTTTAAAGCCCGACCGCAGCCACACACCACCAGTTCAGTTTTTAATATTGTCTATTGATCTCAATCTATTACTAATTGTCTTACTTGTTAACAGAACACAGAGCGGCCATATGATCTACTTCATTCAGATAAGAACAGATCAATATGCTCGTGCCCCTGGTAATACATTCTTCATCAATATATTCTAAACAATAATATTAAAAAACACTTGTCAGGGTTCATACACTTTTTCACCAATGATTTTCAATGATTTTCCATGACTTCTCCATGACCTTTACCTCATTTCCCATGACCAAAAAAATTACTCTTTCTCAGCGGTACCACTGAAAACGGTTTATTTTAACATGGAACAGGAAAATAAGGTCTGCATATGAAACATGTTGTGCCTATCTAAAACAAAGCCAATAATAGGCTTACTAGCTTCTACACGCTAAAGAAACTAAAATCTCTCACCAGCAAAATACCTCGTCAGTTAAATGCCATTTTACGTTGCATTACTATACGATACAGTATTTATTATCATTATAGTATTACTATTTCGTCGATTAGATAAAATATAAATTATATTATATACTTTAGTTACATTTCCATGACTTTTCCAAAACTTTGGGAAAAATATTGTTTTCCATAACTTTCCCAGGGCCTGGAATTAGCATTTTGAATTTCCATGACTTTTCCAGGTTTTTAATGACCGTAACAACCCTGACTTGTGCACGTGTGTCAGTTTCGGTTTATGAGTTACTTTCAGAAGACATGTAGGATTTAGATAGTTAATGTTGAAAAGGTAAAACTATTATTAAGACAATGAAGAAGATTACGTTTTTAGTAAAACTCACCATCAACAACGATGATCTCAATGTCCTTGTATAAAGCCTGTTTCAAAGATGATCCCGCACCACACCTGTAGCGTCCTGAGTCAGACTTGGTCAGCTGAGTGATGGTGACAGAAAAAACTCCATTTTTATAATCAATGCTGTATCTGCCTCTCTGAGCTGTGGCACCGGGTGTTTCAATGAGAATGTCTTCTTTATCACATGGTTCCTTACAGAAGATCTTCCTGATTCCAAAAGAAGGAATGGAGCATTTAACTCTGACATCTTCTCCTTCAATTCCTGAATAGACAGAGAGATGGGCACTGACGAGACCGGTGTTTCCATCCTGCAGAGCTGAACAAAAGATGAACAAAAGTTGAGCCATCATTAGTAGTGGTCAGTACTTCCTGTAAGATGCTGCAGTCTGATCACAACACTTCCTGTTTCACATGAACACAGATCCTCAGAGTTAAACCACAGCCTGTGACTGAAGATCACCATCAGCACTGCAGGTTAATGTTACCGTTTGGTCTGAGATCTTTATCCTTCTTTAGACACAAAGACTACATGAAGTCTCCATCTGTAACTTTAAGAGTTACTTTAACGCAAATCCTTAAAGTACATAACCTAAAAAGTATTTAATGTCAACACCACTTTTTTATTTATGACATTTTTGGACAAAACACTTCGATAGATAGATATAAACTTTATTTATCCCAGCAGTGTCAAGCCGTACGCAAGTTATAAATGTTTAAAAGATACAATAAGATACAAATATAATAAAAAGTTCAAATTAACATTAGCGGCATGTATATATAGTAAGAATACAAATCAAAAGATTAATAAATGAATCAAGAAAATATTTTGCAGATTAAATGATTATGAAAACAATCATATTCATTATTTCACAGAAAAAAACTGTCGTAATGACTTCATTTTATTCATTCAGTAAGCAGATAATAACTGAGTTTAATGATGATGTACAGTTAGTTTGAGGAAGTGAAGCATGTGTCATTGGTTGCATAGGTACTAAAAAGCCTAATTTTGGAATATTTGAATAACTCGTAATGCTGAAGCCTTGCATTAATTTTATGAAAATAAAGGGATGTACTCACAGAAGAGGAAGAAGAAGCAGATCAAAGTGTGAGAGACTTTCATGCTGACACTCTGATGGTTTACCACTGACTGTCTTTCTTCACTGGCTAACCAGGAACTTGTTACTTCTTTAAATGATGAAGTCCCTCCTCCAAACACAACACAGCTCTACTCTCCTCAGTACTTATAGTAGATAAAGTACATTATTCAAAGGTTTACATTCACTTTAGATAATAACACGGGAGATTTTTTCTCTCTCTCTCCCTCTACGGAAACCCTGATATGTATCTATATTAATTTAAAATAAAAAACTACAAGTCCATGACTGTTTTTATAAGTTGTTCTTGCATGAAGCCAACAATTTCCCCTAAAAGATAATTTTCTTGGAATCTTTGGGACACAGTTTGGTAAAAAACTAATATTTTTTGTTGTTAAATGAGTTTGATGACGGGCTCTGTGCTTAGTGTGCTTTTTAACACTAACACTTTTAATGCTGCATGTTTGCAAAATCCTTAGTAACACATTTTTTTGGGTGTTCTTGTTGTTGTTGTTATTGTTATTGTTCTGACTAAAGGTTTACTCGGTCAGTTCAGCAATGACCACAAACTGTTCAAAGTTCATTTCAAATTTAGCAACATTTATTCAGATAGAAAGGGTCTCTAGTTACATTTTGAACAAAAAAACTCATGTGAAATATTGTAAACGCCACTTCTCCACATTTACCTGTTCAAGTGAAAGAATGTTTCACTTTTTAATTCTTTTCAAAGAGCCGGTTTGTGCTTGTTGTGTTTCAGTTTGAGAAGTGTGTGTGTTCGGCTGCATTTCCTCTGAAAACCAAACATAATTTAAACCACAAACAGCTCAGTCTGTGAAAGATGAAACTAATTTCCTCCCCGTTAACCCTTTAAACTCCTCTTCCTCCTCTCAGTGGAGATGCAGCCCGTCTGTCTGTGTGGAATATTCTTTACAGTATGGACTTAGCAGAACAGCTTCATGGAGCGATATACAAATATATTTTCAAGTATCTTTTATGGAATAAATTTGGTTAAAAAAAAAAAACTGGATTTCTCTTTATTTATTTCTCCAAGTTGTGGTGGCTCTACTCTTCAGCCACCTCCCTTGTGTGTTTGTTTTCCCTTTCCCTGTCTGTGTGGGCGTGGTGGCTGTCACTCCTGGCTCCCGGCTCAATCTCCACCTGCTGCAATCAGCTGTACACACCTGATTTCCATCAGCCATTTACTAATGGCATATCAGCGGAGGCTCCACAACCTGTCAGCGCCAGATCGTTGTTTAAACCCCAGTGGTAAAACTCTCAGCCTTCTTAGCCTTCTTAGCTATTTTTCTCTACACTGAATGTTATTCTCACGTGTTTTTCTTGTGCTCCAGGATCACTCTCCAGCCGCCTTGTTGCCATCACCAGCCGCCACCAGTCGTCAATCCTGCCGGATTACTCTCCACGCTCCTCCACCTCAAAATAAACCTTTTTTCCAACACTCTGCCGTGTCCTGCGTTTGGGTCCTATCAGATAACGTAACAGAACGATCTGGCCAGTATGGACCCAGCGGACACAGGCCACCAGTCCAAGACTGCGGACGAACTCAGCCAAGCCCTGGCCAATCAAGGCGCTCTCGTGGGGCATCACGACGTGGTTCTCCGTGAGGTTGTGGAGACTCTCCGGAACCTCTCCGCTAACGTGCAAAGGATCGGCACGCAAGTAGAACTGCTCACTTCACAGTCTTCTCCCCCGCAGCCCGCTGCACAGCCAACAGCCCCTCCCCCCGCTCCTGCCGCACCTCTCCATCAGCTACGAGAGGCTGTCATTCCTACACCGGAGCGATACGCTGGAGATTTGGGTATTTGTAGAGCCTTTTTGTTCCAGTGTTCATTAGTTTTTGAGCAGCAGCCTAGTACTTATCATACAGATGGGGCTAGGGTAGCATATGTAATGAGTCTGTTGAGGGGGAGTGCTCTAGATTGGGCTACATCCGTTAGGGAGAGCCAGCCACACATTTGCTCATCATTTGATACTTTCATTTCCGAAATGAAAAAAGTTTTTGATCACCCGGTACGGGGGAGGGACGCTTCCAGGCACCTTCTTTCTCTCCGGCAGGGCTCCCGTAGTGTAGCCGAATTTTCAGTTGAGTTTAGAACAGTTGCTGCTGACTCAGGCTGGAATAACGAGTCATTGCAGGATGTTTTTCTTCAGGGGCTGAATGAAGCAATTAAAGACGAGCTAGCTGCTAGGGATGATCCAGTTAGCTTGGATAATTTAATTGCCACAGCTATCAAGATTGATAATCGCCTCAGAGAGAGACGTAGGGATAGGAATAGCCGTCACCCCAATCCCAGCTACTCCTCACCTGATCCCCAAATTGGCACTGCCACTGCCCCAATCTCCAGATCCTTCCCAACTCCTTTCTCGGTTTCACCCCCCGAAGATGAGCCCATGCATGTGGGAAGGGCCCGCCTCTCACCATCTGAGCGGGCTAGAAGGACCCAGGCTGGGGAATGTGTTTATTGCAGCCAAACCAGTCATCTCGTTTCCTCCTGTCCTAATCTGCCAAAAGGTCAGGCTCGTCAGTAGCTGTGGGGATTCTGGCGAGCCCTTCCTCCTCTCTCAACCCCCGACCCAGAACGCAGCTAGAAGCCGTGCTTTGCTGCAACCAACAGTCACTACCCCTGCTCGCCTTAGTGGACTCGGGGGCGGACGAGAACTTTTTGGACATTGACATTGCAGCTCAGGCAGGAATTCCCTGCGAAGTGTTAGATTCACCTCTTAATGCCAATGCTCTAAATGGAAAATTCCTGGCCCAAGTCACTCACCGCACCAAGCCAGTAAACCTCATTCTGTCTGGAAACCATCGTGAGTTTATTCAGTTTCACCTAATTTCCTCACCTCATGACCCCATAGTGTTGGGCCATCCCTGGTTAAGAACACACAACCCCCAGATTGATTGGGTAACTGGCAAAATCATTAGTTGGAGTTTTTTTGGTTTATCCTCATGCCTGCAGTCTGCCCTACCGCCAGCAGAGGCCGCCGCTCCACCACCCAAGATCGAGCCGCCTGACCTGTTATCTGTCCCCACTGAATATCCTAACCTAGGAGAGGTGTTCAGTAAACAGCAAGCTCTTTCTCTTCCTCCTCATCGACCCTACGACTGTCCCATTGACCTCCTTCCCGGGGCCCCTCTGCCTTCCTCACGTCTGTTCAACCTGTCTCGCCCTGAGAGAAAATCCATGGAGAGTTACATCCATGACTCCCTGGCTGCCGGTGTCATCCGTCCATCCTCCTCCCCGGTCGGTGCTGGTTTTTTCTTCGTGTCCAAGAAGGACCGCTCACTGCGGCCCTGCATTGATTACAGGGGTCTTAATGCCATCACTGTAAAAAACAAATATCCATTACCCCTCATTAACTCCGCCTTTGAACCCCTCCAGGAAGCCACAATTTTTTCCAAACTGGACCTCCGCAATGCCTACCACCTCGTCAGAATCCGTGAAGGGGACGAGTGGAAGACTGCCTTTAACACACCACTCGGTCACTTTGAGTATCTGGTGATGCCTTTTGGACTGACGAATGCCCCAGCAGTTTGTCAGTCGATGGTGAACGATGTGCTCCGTGACCTCCTCAACCGGTCAGTCTTTGTCTACTTGGATGACATTCTCATATTCTCTCGTAACAAGGAGGAGCACATTATCCATGTCAGGCAGGTGCTGCAGAGACTGAAAACAGACTCTTTGTGAAGGCGGAGAAATGCGAATTCCATGTCAACACAGTCTCATTCCTGGGCTACATCGTTGAGGAAGGAAAGATTAGGACCGACACTGAGAAGATCCAAGCGGTGGCGGGGTGGCCCAAACCAACCTCAGTTAAACTGCTTCAACAGTTTCTTGGTTTCGCCAATTTCTATCGGCGCTTCATCAGAGACTACAGCAGAGTGGCGGGCCCTTTAACCAGACTCACTTCCCCTACAACTGTTTTTTTCTGGACTCCAGAGTGCGATGCAGCCTTCTCGGAGCTAAAGAGACTTTTCACCACTGCCCCTGTGCTCATCCACCCTGATTCCTCTCGCCAGTTCGTGGTGGAGGTCGATGCCTCCAACACCGGGGTAGGGGCAGTTCTTTCCCAGCGCTCGGAACGAGACCAAAAATTACATCCTTGTGCATTTTTCTCTCGCCGCCTCACTCCAGCTGAGAAGAACTATGATGTGGGTAACAGAGAGCTGCTGGCTGTCAAACTTGCCCTAGAGGAGTGGAGGCACTGGCTGGAGGGAGCCGAGCTCCCTTTTATTGTATGGACAGACCACAAAAACTTGGCGTACATCCAATCTGCCAAGCGCCTTAACTCCCGTCAGGCTCGATGGGCCCTGTATTTCGGCCGCTTCTCATTCACCCTTACCTACCGTCCAGGGTCACGGAACCTCAAGCCGGACGCTCTCTCTCGCCAGTTCGCTTCTGAAGGACCAGCTATCCCGACACTATCCTACCTGCCTCCTGCGTGGTGGCGGCTGTTACCTGGGAGATTGAGTCATTGGTGAAGGAGGCTCAGCGGGCGCAGCCTAACCCAGGTAACTGCCCAGCTAATAGTCTTTTTGTGCCTACCCCTGTTCACCCCAAGGTCCTGCAGTGGGCACACGCCTCTCGTGTCATCCTGGTGTCCATCGCACACTGTTTATACTAAGACAACGGTTCTGGTGGCCTTCCATGGCTCAAGACACCAGGGCCTTTGTTGCTGCCTGTACAGTATGTGCCCGCGCCAAGTCCTCCCACCAATCTCCCTCTGGCCTGCTTCGCCCGCTGCCGGTACCTAGTCGCCCTTGGTCGCATGTGGCCTTGGATTTTGTTACTGGACTTCCACTTTCACAAGGAAATACCATCATCCTAACTATTGTGGACAGATTTTCCAAGATGGTACACTTTGTTGCTCTTCCCAAGCTTCCCACAGCCCGAGAGACTGCAGATCTTCTGGTCAATCATGTTGTTCGACTCCATGGGATTCCCACCGACATCGTCTCTGACCGGGGTCCCCAGTTCATTTCCCACGTTTGGAAGGCCTTCTGTCAGGCTCTGGGAGCATCAGTGAGCCTGTCATCTGGCTATCATCCTCAGACGAACGGGCAAACGGAACGGGCCAACCAGGATCTGGGGGCGGCTCTTCGCTGTGTGGCTTTCAGGAACCCTTCGTCATGGTGCCCACATCTGCCATGGATCGAATATGCCCACAACTCCCTGTCAAATGCAGCCACAGGTATTTCACCCTTTCATTGTGCCATGGGTTTCCAACCACCCCTGTTTCCATCCCAGGAAGAGGAAGTTGCTGTTCCTTCCGTTCAGACCCACCTTCGTTGCTGTCGTAAGGTGTGGAGGGACACCCGAGCCGCCCTGCTCCGCTCCGCTGCCCGCAACCGCCTCATCGCAGACCGCCACAGGACCCCGGCCCCCAACTACTTACCAGGTCAGAGTGTTTGGCTTTCCTCCAAAGATCTCCCACTCAAGACAGAGTCGAAGAAACTCACGCCACGTTATGTCGGCCCCTTCATCATCGACTCAGTTATCAATCCATCTGCAGTCAAGCTCAAGCTTCCCCCACACATGAAGGTTCATCCGACATTTCATGTCTCTCTGTTGAAACCTGTTGCCAGCAGCCCCTTGTCTCCTCCAGTGAGTGTTCCCCCACCCCCCCCGCATCATCAATGATCACCCAACCTACACCGTCAGGCCATTGTTGGACGTTCGTCGCCGTGGAAGGGGATTCCAATATCTTGTGGATTGGGAGGGCTATGGTCCAGAGGAGAGGTCTTGGGTTCCCCGGCAGTGTTAGAAATTGAGGGGAAAAAATGCCCCGAAAATATCAGAAAGACCCCAAAAAATTGCAAATGTGAAGAAAGATATCCAAGTTATTCCGATATACTAATCCACCATTATGTGTTTGATTCTGTGTCTGGTTATGAGCCCTCTTCACCTCTGGAAACCTGCAGGTCAGAGATGTTTCCAGAAGTTAAATTGAATCCAGTTGAGGCTAAAATGAGGGTTTATGTGATACCATTTTCATGACTTATGTGTCACTTATAATTAAATGTTGTCAAGAAAATTATTGTGGCTACACCTTCAATGCAGGAAGACATCTTATGGGGACTTTGCTTCTTTTGAATATGTGGCCCTTCAGCTGAAATGCTCCTCTCCAGCTCTGTTCCTAAATATCTGTCTATAGAGTGTATTGACTTTGACCGTCTAGTCATTGTTGGTGATTTTAACATCCATGTTGACAACCCCCAGGACAGAGGGGCTAAAGAACTGTTTTGTGTTCTTGATAACTATGGACTGACTCAGCATGTACCGGAGCCCACGCACAATAAGGGGCACACTCTGGACTTAATTATCTCAAAGGGTCTGAATATCTCTGAGGTTGTGGTGACTGATGTTGCACTCTCTGATCATTCCTGTGTTGTCTTTGAGAGCTCTATTTCTGTTCACAAAAAGGTAACCACAAAGAGATAAGATAAGAGATAAGATCTTTAATTTGTCATTGTACAAGTACAACACAATTACAATGTGAACTCAAGGTGCCAACGCGCAACAACAAGACAATATAAAAACATGAAATGGGACTTAAATAGAAATGAAAGGGAAGCGATGTTTAACTGAAAATACTAGGGAAATGTTTACTCAGAATCTTTCTTCCACACTTGCCCCTGCTAACATCTCAGTAAATGAGCTAGTAGATCGTTTTAATTCAAAAATAAAAAATGTTATAGATGCCATTGCTCCAACTAAGATAAAGGAAGTGACTGGCAAGAAAATATCTCCATGGAGAAAGGCCATGACCGTGAGAACAGAAAAAAGAGTGTGTCGAAAAGCTGAACGTAGGTGGCGAAAAACAAATCTCCAGGTTCATTTTAACTGCTGAAACAACATCCATAACATTCATCTGCTACTTAGAAATTATTTATCTAATAAATCATATTCCAATAACTTGCATATAGACTCTTATTTCACTATTTCACTTTTTTAAACTACTTGCACTATATTTCTGTTTATCTGTTTTATTGTGTTGCACTGTTGGAGGAGCCTGTGACCTAAGATGTTCATCGTCATAACTACACTGTAGCTATGTTCGTATGACAAAATAAAAACCTTGAACCTTGTTATGCATGCCCGCCAAAAAGGAAATGATATCGTTTCCAAACCTAACTTTTTTAGGTCAATGCAGTTAAATTTGCTGAATTAATTTGAAACCCCCCTTTCTCCATGACAACCAAACAACCAATAAGATGGTTACACATTGAAATCTCCAGAAAAAGCAAGTGAATGAACCCTGGAGTTCTAAATCTAAGAGGGTATATTGACTGATTAATCAACCCTGAAGTCACAAAAGCATGCATTTGCAGAGACTTCCTGAGAAAGATTTATTTTGGGAGCCTCAAGCAGATTTCTCTGAGAACGCTTTTTGCTAATTGTGTTATCGAGGTAGTTTCCTGTGTGAAGTCTCAGCAGACCCAATGTGAAAACTACAAAGTGAGACTATAAAAACTAACTTGGCTATTAGAAATGTATTTGAAAGCGTATGTGTTTGCAGGATTGTTGCTGAATTTGTATCCTCGTGGTTGATTGCAATTATATTGTAAAAACCTTTGGATGAAGGTCAAATGTAAAAAAAGGTTGTGGGTTAAAAATACATTAGGAATATGCTCATATGTTTTTTATATTAAATACAAATAATGTGACTCATACTCATGGCTGGTCACACCTTTACCCAAACAAACAAACAGCTGATGGTCACACTGGGGGAGTTTAACATTAAATACAGAAAGGAAGATGACGTTATAGAGAAATGACAGAAATACAAAGTGTACTCACTGAGGACGAAGAAGATCAAACTGTGGCACACGTCCATGTTTGAGTCTCTGATGGTTGAACGCTGCCTCTCTTTCTTCTTCACCGGCAAACCAACATGTTTTCACTTCTCTAAACGATGGAGTCCCTGCTTAAAATAAAACACTCACAGCTTTACTCTCCTCTCTAACACCTGCATGTGTATCACGTATGGTTTCACTTTAAAACTTTGCAACTTAATTCAGGAAAATAATATATTTAGCTTTTAACATTTAAATTATTGTGAAACACATTTCAGAAATAATTTAAGATAACTTTTATTTGTATATGTAGGAAGTGTGTTGTGCAGCAGATGCAGTACAGAGCAGGAAGAGTGCTAATATAAAATACAATATAAAAAATAAAACTCTATAAAAAAAAGGTGCAAATCCAAATATATATATATAATCGATACAAACAGGTTAAAAGTCTGACACATTACACAACAGTATGAGGAGTGGCATCTTTTATCCCGTACTGACCACATCTATAGTTTCATATCTATTTATTTATATTCTGCTATAATTAAACATTTCTGTAAATGAAGCCTTTAACCAAAATAGGCAATTTAATAGTCAAAGCTAATTCGAAGCAACATATCTTATGCTAATCAGCTAACTTTACTAGAACAGTTTACCTTACAGAGATAACTTTAATACCATATCAAGTGTAATAAAATGTACTTTATAAATAAATTGAAGCCATAAAAGAGCTTTTTACATTAAACTACATATCATTTAGCTGAGGCTTTTATCCAAAGGGACTTACAATAAGTGCAACCAGCTTTGACCTGAAGCAAACTGTTGAAGCGGCACATTTGTGAACTAGTGCAGAGCTGGACTTATCATCACATGAGCAGGTCATTCAAAGCAGGTTTGAAATAAGTAAATGGTTAAAGGGGACCTATCATGCAAAATGCACTTTTGTACGTCTTTTATACATGAATATGTGTCCCCGGTGTTCCAGGGAACTCACCAAGTGTCAGAAAACACAACCCTCTCTATTTTCCTCCATACCCAAATCTCTAAAAAAGGGGCTGCAACGGATCTGATACAGACTGATCCAGATTTGAACACTGTCCTGACGTCAGGACAGTGGCGCTACGGCAATTGGGCCAACTCCACCAATCAGGAGGAGACAGCCACGGCCATTGCCGTTGGAAAGCGCTGGAGACGCTGTAGTACATATGCCAGGCCTGTAGGTGGTGCTGTTGTCACAGAATCAGCCCTTGCTAAAACAGAGCTAAAAAAGCGCAAATTGAGCGAAATGAGGCATGGCTAAAATGCATGATCTGTTTGGTATTTTGAAAAAAAAAAAAGTATAAATATGCCTTATATAGGTATGGTCCTACACTATATTATTCAAATATAGCATGATAGGTCCACTTTAAATAATCTTACATATTCCCACAAACATCTCTCTGTTTCAGAATATTTACACGGCTGCTTAATTCAGTGTGAGAGTTATTGGGGGTTGTTAACAGTAGAGTACAGAGGGGGCTCATCAGAGCTAGCTTCCACCTGAGGAACAGAGTAGATAACACACTCAGCGTCACCGTGGAAACCGCTGTGGGACGATCTCACGCTGACAAATTTGATCTCAGAGTAGGTGTGTTGACTCGGGTCGTCTTCAGCCTGGAGGAAAAAACATTGCTTGATTAAATGTGTCTTTAAAAACAGAACAAAACAAGCAACTGGACTTCGTTTTGAAGTTACGAAAGAAACTTTCAGAAGTTGTGTTTCTTTAGGTATTTTATTCATATTTACACGTATTATATTACTGCAGACAATATTTGAAATGAATCAAAGCCAAATCTGGTATTTCAGTAAATATGAATAGGAAGCAGCAACAGGTACAAACATGTAGCACTACCGAGCAAATGTTTTGTGATCCCAAAGTTAAAGTTGTATACAAAATGTTGGTGTATTTTGTAAATTAGCTGCAGAGACAACATTGTAGTAATCATTGGTTTGGGATCAATTTGGTTAGAGTAGGTGTGTTGATTCGGGTCGTCTTCAGCCTGGAGTAAAAAACATTGCTTGATTAAATGTGTCTTTAAAAACAGAACAAAACAAGCAACTGGACTTCGTTGTGAACAGTGGCGGCTGGTGGAAAATATTTTAGGTGGGGCTGTGGAAATGGTGATCAAACAATACTAGGGGGGTCCCGGGGGATGCTTCCCCGGTAATTTTTTTGGAGAAAAGACCCCTTAAATTATGACTTCTGGTGATGTTAGATGGGGGGAAGGACAATTTGAGGCTTAAAAATATGAGAAGACTGATCAATACCTCCATAACTTCAGTGTGGTTAGAGCTATGAATCTTCCAAAACTTCCAAACACCTTGTCCTGGACATAGTTTCTACAGCATAAACTGTGCAACAGTACAGTATGCCCACACAAACTGCAGAACACCGGGGCTTTGGGAACACTGATTTAATTCCCATTTAACCTGTTAAGGGGCTTTTTTCCCCCGTTTTTTTTGTCTCACGAAACTGTGTCTCAGGGCTTCTTAAAATGTAATAAACTATTCATGTGTCCTACTCAGAGGAAACGCATCTAACTGATGATATGAACCATGTTTACCGAAACAAAACACAAGTCTCACAAGAAGCGTCGAAATGAGCCCTGAGCGAAAGAATGCTAACGCACTCTAGGTATAAATCAATCGATATACTTATCGGATATGCACAAACAAGTTTACAAGCTGAGATTCCACAAATTCTAGAAATATAAGTATCATCACTGAGCGATCAGAACTCGCGACAGGGGAAGCAAATACAGACATCACACAACGTAGCTTTAGGTAGCAAAACATGGAGATATGCTCACCTTTTGCAGAATAACAATTCTGATCAAAAACGAGAAAAACGCAGCTGAAGGTTAATCCATAGGTTAATCCAATGTGTCTGTCACTTTGAAAAATGATTGATGATCCATACTTCCATTTTTATGTCAAAAACGGAGTTTTCATTAGCTGCTAATGGTAGCTTCCAGAGTGTATGACAGCTTCCTGTTTTGTCTCCTTGGATACGAGTCCAAACAACTCACAGACTGCACCGGGCGCTCACCAAGCCCCCAGGAAGTGCGCCGGACTCAGATGAAAATATTCGTGCTGGCCAAACGGCGGTACTACACTTCCTTTTGGTTGCCAGGCCCGGAAACACTTTTTCCCATTGACTTACATGGGGAAAGTGTGGTCTGTAAATCGTTGGATAATTTTTTTGAAACTAAATAAACTACCCAGTATGAACACTTGTATAGCCCTTATTAAAAACATTCGTTACTCAAGTTGTAAAAATGTGCTAATAACGTTATTCTGTGAGTTATTTCCCTCTGCATTATGAATGCGCATCTAACCCACGGGACCGCGCCGCCCGGCACGTTCATGTTACGTGTTCAGCACTACAGCGTTTATTTTTACCCATGGATGTACAATAAGAACGGACCCATATCGCCTTACTGCCAGCCCACGGAGCTGTAATAATGGATATATTGCACATGTTTGCTGTAATTCATCATTTGTAAAATATTATACTACATGGGCTGTATGATTAAATCTTGTACCGTAAATGTTGTATTAAATAAAGTTAATATTACCGACGTAGATTAACGTCCCTGTAGCTTCTTATTGCACTAAGAAGCTTATTGCACTGTATATATATACATATATATATATATATATTAGGGCTGTCAGTCGATTAAAATATTTAATCGCGATTAATCGCATGATTGTCCATAGTTAATCGCGATTAATCGTAAATTAATCGCACATTTTTTATCTGTTCTAAATGTACCTTAGAGGGATATTTTTCAAGTTTTTAATACTCTTATCAACATATGAGTGGACAAATATGCTTTATATGTTTGTTTATTATCATTTGAACAATGACAAATATTCTCATGAATATTAAACACAACAACCTCTGAACATTACAAATATTCGCCTCAATTCAACCTGGAACCTCTCTCATACAATAATACAGTGTGTGTGTGTGTGTGTGTGTGTGTGTGTGTGTGTGTGTGTGTGTGTGTGTGTGTGTGTGTGTGTGTGTGTGTGTGTGTGTGTGTGTGTGTGTGTGTGTGTGTGTGTGTGTGTGTGGAGAGACGGAGCTATGTGCAGCTCAAGGCATATATGCTTGAACGGGAGCTGCAATCATGTTGCATGTTGAGTGTGCTGACTTTTCGTACAATGTCCCACTGTCTGGCTACCTGCATAAAGTCAAGTGCTCGGCGCAGTTGTCGGCGAAATGTCATTGAAACAGCTCCTTATATCCGTTAGCGCAGCTAGCTAGCACCAGATGCTAACAACAACAACACGTAAGGTGTGCCTCGCTCGCGCGAGTCGCGCCACACATACACACACCGTCCCGGTCCTCCCGATGGCCAGTCCGGGCCTGCCGGTGAGCGTGGAAGTGTGGCAGGAGCGGGGCTGTCAGTATCAGCTTGTAGATGGTATTTTAAACTCGATGCGCTCTGAAACTACGGGGCGGCCGAGGACAAAAAATACACATGCGTTAATCGCGTTAAAATAATTAGTGGCGTTAATTTTTTTTTGCGTTAACGCGTTATTAACGCGTTAACTTGACAGCCCTAATATATATATATATATATATACAGTGCAATAATTCTTTCATGCTAAATGAAGCTCTGTTGCTTGGATATCACTAGATCCTGTTACAGCGTAATATAAAAGTACATAACGATTGATGTGTAAATTAGCATAATTACTAGCTAACCGCTAGCTGCTAACTGCCGCCTCGTTAATATCAAATCTATCATAATAACAAACCATTACCATGCTGTCATGAACGTGCGGTGCTGTTACGTGTACGCAAATTGACGTGCTTGATGTGAACGAGCATTTTGGGGGGCATGGTTAAAGTTGCGCATGCGCTATGAGCGCACATACGGGTACTTCTCAGGCATGCCGGGTAATCTGTGACGTTTCGCTCTCTCAAAAGTTGGGCCATTTTATCATCATGCGCGAATGAGCAACTCTCATAGAGTGGTGAAGTCACGCCCACCTACTTCTGGGTAATGGGACCTTATTTCGGAAAAATTATGCATTGAAGTCAATGGGGAGAGAAAACGTATCTTTCGATCCCGTTTGAATTGTGCCATGAATTACACATATGATGTTTGTCAATCTTAAAAAATAATTTCCATGTCAAAAAAGTCACAGTTTGTCGTAAAACTGTTGAAATATAAGACGTAACGTGAAAAATACGTAACTAGAAAGACTACAAATCCCAGAGTCGCGTAAGTGATGTCACAATTGTTTTCCTCCACCATTCAGATACCTAAGATCAGCGCAATATAGATATAATCTATCTATATGGCGCTGGCTAAGATAAGATAACTTTAACAAGATGCCTGTGTGCTTAGTACCAGGTTGTTATTATACCAGCAATGGGTCTTGCTCGTTCTTTTGCTTCCCGTCTGATGAAAGGACCAGGAGTGGCTGGATCAAGTTAGCTACCTAGCTAGTAGCTAGCACGTTAGTTAGCATTACAGCCTTGTCATTTTTATTAGCCTTAACATGAAGTAACATTAAGTAACCCAAAATGTTAAACAGTAAGAGTAGTAGTCATATTTCGTGAACCCTTTGAATAGTACTGTCACCGGTGTGATCATTCTATAATACACCCTTTAAGCCCGGGGGAGAAATGCTAACGCTAACGTTAGCATCGGCGATCTTCTCTACTTCATGCTATCTGCACAAATGGTTGACATTAAACATTAAAACGACCAGGCAGTTGAAGGAAAAAGATATGATTCTACACTGTATTGAAGTAAACATGTATTGTTTGAACTGTTTTAGGTAATCACAAACGGGTTTTGATAAGTCACTTAGAATAGGAATGTTATTCTTACTTTCAAACTCACTGATCCAGAGATTCTGTGTCTCACACACCAACATCGCTCCTTATCACCTCTAAAAGCCAGATGCTGTTTTTAAGTCGTTAAAATACATCGTTAAATAGGTGGAGAACTCATGGGAAATTAAGTTAAGATTCTAATCACAGATAGAGGTTGACTTTTGACCTTATGGAACTTTATGGTTTGAACTGTGATTGAACTAGACCAGAAGGGAATCCAGCCAGTCAAGACACTTGGGGGAGGTGATCAGCTTACACAGCTCCTCCTCAGAGAACTCTGATTCGCTTGGGAGAAAAGTGGGAAGGAACAGATGACCCATCTCCGCCCCAAAAATAGATAGAAATACTGATGTTTTTGAGTGTAAAATGCTTCTGGTTTGCTGAAGGCTGGTCTAGAGACGTGTAAACCGCATCCCAAACCTGAAGTCTGTACTTCTCGTTTCCTGAAGGCTGGTCTGTCTACCTGTAAACCGCGTCACAAACCTGAAGCCCGGAGTGCTTGAGTACTCTGTATAACTTGTATATGTGTTTGGTTTCCTACTAGAAGTAAACTCAGATAATTTGTTATAACTTTGATTCCGGTGTTTTCAATTCCTTTCTTAATTTAATAGAGATCCAGCCTCATCCAACGAACGGCGCGGAGAGGGGGGCTATTCAGCCACCAGAAAAGTGTTCTACTCCAACACAGTTCAGAGAGAATCAAAGGAAGGCAGGCAGGCAGCTTTGCATGACATTCTTCAGGACGTGTTTCATTGTGGTGATAGTGAGGATAGTCAATCGTTTTGTTGACAAGACAGTAGTGACGGCCATCTTGGTGACGTGTGTTGTTGACCAGAGATGTAGTTCATTGAGCGTTTCACACAAACAAATGTGTTACTTCACAGTTTTACGACACATTTTTTTTTTTTTGACTTGCAAAATTATCTTTTAAATTGACAAACATCATATGTGTAATTCGTGGCACAATTCAAACGGGATCAAAAGATAATCTTTCTCTCTCCATTGACTTCAATACATAATTTTTCCGAAATAAGGTCCCATGGAGGTCCACCGGAAGGGGAGGGACTTCGCCACTCTATAGGAATGAATGAGGCCCCGCCTCCCACGCTGTATCCAGTTCTTATTATACATCCATGGCGCTCACGTAGGAGCCCTGTGACTATCAGATTTGACGACGCTGATTGGCTGAAATTATGTTTCGGCGGCATAGTTTAAAGATAGCAACAGTTGGCTTCTGCTGCACTTGCTGCACTCTCGTCTGGGCGCTGTGCATAGCGCCCAGACGAGAGGGAGTAATGATACACGGGCAAGGCCAGGCAGGAAACATGTGACTTATCAGTAACTTTAGTCATCGTAACACAATTTTAAACGAGATTTTATTGTAGATTATACATTTTACTGATATCAATTATATAATATTTACCTTGTTTATTAAAAATAAAAATAAAAATAAAAAATATATTTTTTAAATATATATATATATATATATTTTTTTAATGTGGGAAGAGGGGGGGCGGCGCCCCTATGGGCCGGCCGCCACTGGTTGTGAAGTAACAAAAAAACGTTCAGAAGTTGTGTTTCTTTAGGTATTTTATTCATATTTACACGTATTATATTACTTCAGACATTGTCCGAAATGAATCAAAGCCAAATCTGGTATTTCAGTAAATATGAATAGTAAGCAGCAACAGGTACAAACATGTAGCACTACCGAGCTGATGTTTTGTGATCCCAAAGTTATAGTTGTATAACATTTTTTGGTGTATTTTGTAAACTACCTGCAGAGACAACATGGTAGTAATCATTGGTTTTGGCTCAATTTGGTTGTGTTTATTTGGCGTAAGTGTAAATGGAAGAGATTTCCCCAGGAGATCTCACATAGACCCTCGTACACTTCGTTGATCTACAGAAGACTGAATTAATATGATGCTCAGATTTTCTCAAACTCACCTCTGGTGCAGAAGCACATTGTGTTTCCACATGAGGTTCTGAAAAAAACACAACAGTACTTTGAGAAAAAGACTCAGAACACATTTTCAAACATGACATCACACATTCCCCATTTGGACCAATATTTGGGACAACCTTTAAAATCAGAGTAAAACAAGATAAATAGATGTGTTTTGTAAACAACAGAATATACAGTATATTTAATCATTAACCATCCTGCCAAATTTAAACTATTAAAACAAATGTAATAAGTATATAAAATAACGTTTCAATTAAAAAAATAACAAGCTATGGCTTTAAATGTTTCTAAAATGCATATTGTCTTGAAAAAAAGCCTCTGATCTGACTTCACTTAGTCTCCAAAATAGAGGAAGCTATCCTTTTAGCTCTCTCTATTTTTATGTGTTTGTAAAATGTATTTTTATAAATGGCATACATTTTGTAGATAGACTGATTTGCAGTCAGGTGTGATATAGATTTAAATGTGTGTTTTTTTTCATATGGTATTATTGTGTAGTTGCATAGATACTACTAGCCTATGTTCTATGTTTGTGATGTTGCAACTGACAAAGCATAAATCTAGCACCTGTTTCCTAGCAACAACTGAAGGATTGTCACTCTACAAGAAGCAGTGATAACAAAACCTTTAGACTGAGCAGCAGTTGGGTTATTCTTAATGCTGTAAATGTACACCCAATCTGGTGATGGGGGATGGACATTTTGTGTGAGAAAGTTATTTTAGAATTGTGCGTCTGCTTTTAAAGTTAATATAGGTCAAGAGAAAACTACAACTTTTCAGTGAGACAAGAGTGTGTGTGTGTGTGTGTGTGTGTGTGTGTGTGTGTGTGTGTGTGTGTGTGTGTGAGTGAGAGAGAGAGAGAGAGAGTGTGAGTGTGTGTGTGAGTGTGTGTGTGTGTGTTACCTGGTTCCTCACCTTTGTCTTTACAAATCCTCTTCCTGCAGAATACCAGCACACACAGTGATGACATGATGACCAGGACGACCAGAGTCAGAAACACATACAGGACCACACCTGTCGGTGTTTGAAGAGTTAAATGTAAACAATGACATCTAACACTTAGAGTACTCATAATCCATTTAGTTTTTTAGGGGGGGGGACAGGTTATCTTTAGGTGAAGACAACAGGTCAGAAGTATTTGCCATATACTGTCGAAGTAGAGTAAATATTTTGAATGCTGGGAACCTGATTTGGAGGTTCAGCATTTCAAAATATACTTTTTTAAACTTTTGGACATTCTCATGCTCTTTTATGTCTCATAAGTTGTTGAAACTTTATCTAGTAAACACAGTGTGTGGATGTACCTTTAGTTGTTTCAGGGTGCTCTGTAGTTTTAGGGGAGGCTGGTGTAGTTGTGGAACTTTCACTTTGGTTTGTTGTTGTTGAGGATGCTGATGAGACGGATGATGAAGGTGGAAAAGTGGTCAGAGCTGTGAACAAAAAGATGCAGGCACAAAGAAGTCCTGATGAGAGAAATGAGATCCTCCTGAGTGTCTGTGTGTGTCAGCCGAGCTCTTTTAAATTGAGAATTTAAAACATCAGCAGCTGTCAGTAAAAACTGTCTTCAGAGACAAGAACAAACATTTTCATTATCAAGCAGAAACTCACCATCAGTGACGATGAGCCTAAACCTCTGGTATGGATCGTTAGAGGAAGTTCTGCCCAGACCACACCTGTACCATCCTGAGTCAGACTGGGTCAGCTGGTTGATGCTCACATACAGAAAATAAGTTGAAAATATTGGAGTATATCTGATGCTGTATCTGCCATTTTCCTGATCTGATTTCCAAGTCGTTTCAACAAGATTGTCTCCTTTTTTACATTCTTCCTTGCAGACGTACTTCTTGGCTCTATATCGAGTAAAGTAGCATTGAACTGCAATATTCCCTCCAGTTCTAGCATCAATTGTTTTTTCTGCAGAAGGATCACCATCCAGCATTGCTGTTGAAAAAAACAAAACAATCAAAAGTTACAATGTGTAGATTACAAATCTTAGTTTCACCATGTGTGTGTTTTAAAAACGTGATCCAGTCACTGAGGGTTAAGGTGTGACTCTTTAATGAAGGCTTTTTAACTTAAAGGTCCCATGTCATGGCCATTTCTACTGATCATAATTCCATTGTTGAGGTCTACTAAAATAGATTTATATTGTGCAATTTTCCAAACTCACATTGGTTTCTCATACAGCATCTCTGTATAGTATGTGTATTCACTCTCTGTCCTAAACGCCTTGTTTAGCCCCTGCCCCCCCCTCCCTGTGAGCCCACTGTGCTCTGATTGGTCAGCTCGCCCACTGGCTCGCTGCTGCGAGGAGCTGGCTTACTGGTGTGGTTTCCTGCTTGCTGCGAGACATCGCGAATGGACGCGGGAAGAGGGGGGAGGGGTGCTGAGGGGGCTGCAGCATCTGCAAGGCTCCACTAGCACCCGCATCCCCCCCCCCCCCCCGCGGCGCACCTACAGTGTAAGTGTGCCACAGTTTTGCCGCACTGCAAGGCTCTACTAGCACCCCCCCCACCCAGCGTGTCACATTTTCGCCGCTAAAATAGTGTGTGTGTGTGAGGAGCTCCCCGGATTGGTCCATTTGGGTATGGGCACGTCACTGTACCCAGGAAGAAGACAATGGAAAAAGAGAAATCTCCAACGAGACGTTCTGGGGCAGCATAGACAGGTCTTTTCTGTGTTAGAGTTTTACTCCCTACAGGGTGTAGTTTGAGGGTTTGTGACTGCAGACCGTTCACATGCAGAAAAACCTTCATAACACACAAGGGGAAGGGTAATAACCAGAAAAGCATGACCTTTAAATTCTTCCAAGAGATTTAGAAAATCATTATTTTACACTGTGCTCACAATTGGATTTTACATCATTATATTTTGGATTTATATTAGATTAGAATGCTTTAATAAAATAGTTGGCTTTGACATTTTTATTATAAATAGCATCTGATTGAGGTTAACTGATAATTCAATATGTGAACTTTAGGAAGAAGATTTGTTGCAAAGACTGACATTTATTTTTAAAATAATTTCTTTATCCCTTGAAATGATCATTGTTATATTATGACCCTGAGTTACCTTAAATTCATTTGCTCATAACTTCCCTAAAACATGACTTATCTAAACACTTCTGCATTAACTGTTCTTGAGAAAAGAGGGGCTCGTCTCTTTGTGCAGAAGTGTTTTAAATGGTGAGGTTTAAGTAGAATGCATGTTTTAGGGAAGTACTGAGCATACAGTGAATGACATTAGGACTATACAGCATTAGTTGTGTTAGAGTTAGTTAACGGATGTTTTAATATATTTTTGCTGTTGTAAAACGAGGCCCCCAATTCATTTAACATTCTTTAAGACTTTTCTCCATTTTGGGATTCTTTGTTCACCGTGGAGTCACGCAAGAAAAAGTTATCAAATTCAAGATGATCTAAAAATGGTAATTTGGGGGTAAAGTATTCCTTTAAAGCCCGACCGCAGCCACAAACCACCAGTTCAGTTGTTATTATTTTCTATTGATCTCAATCTATTACTAATTGTCTTACTTGTTAACAGAACACAGAGCGGCCATATGATCTACTTCATTCAGATAAGAACAGAGACAACAGATCAACATGCTCGTGCCCCTGGTATTAAATTCTTCATCAATAATATTCCATACAATAATATTAAAAAACACTTGTGTACGTGTGTCAGTTTCAGTTTATCAGTTACTTTCAGAAGACATGTAGGATTAAGATGAGTTAATGGTGAAAAGGTAAAACTATTATTAAGACAAGGAAGAAGATTCAGTTTTTAGTAGAAACTCACCATTAACAACGATGATCTCAATATACTCGTATGAAGTCCGTGTCAAAGATGTATCCGCACCACACCTGTAGCGTCCTGAGTCAGACTTGGTCAGCTGAGTTATGGTCACAAAAAAAACTCCATCTTTATAATCAATCCTGTATCTGACACTCTGAGCTGTGGCATCAGTTGTTTCAATGAGAATGTCTTCTTCGTCTACATGGTTCCTTACAGAAGAACTCCCTGCCTCTATAAGAAGAAATGGAGCATTTAACTCTGACATCTTCTCCTTCAATTCCTGAATAGACAGAGAGTTGGGCACTGACGAGACCGGTGCTTCCATCCTGCAGAGCTGAACAAAAGATGAACAAAAGATGAACCATCATTATTAGTGGTCAGTACTTCCTGTAAGATCCTGCAGTCTGATCACAACACTTCCTGTTTCACATGAACACAGATCCTCAGAGTTAAACCACAGCCTGTGACTGAAGGTCACCATCAGCACTGCAGGTTAATGTTACCGTTTGGTCTGAGATCTTTATCCTTCTTTAGACACAAAGACTACATCAAGTCTCCATCTGTAACTTTAAGAGTTACTTTAACGCAAATCCTTAAAGTACATAACCGAAAAAGTGTTTAATGTCAACACCACTTTTTTTATTTATGACATTTTTGAACAAAACACTTAGATAGATAGATATAAACTTTATTTATCCCAGCAGTGTCAAGCCGTACGCAAGTTGTAAATGTTTAAAAGATACAATAAGATACAAATATAATAAAAAGTTCAAATTAACATTAGCGGCATGTATATATAGTAAGAATACAAATCAAAAGATTAATAAATGAATCAAGAAAATATTTTGCAGATTAAATGATTATGAAAACAATCATATTCATTATTTCACAGAAAAAAACTGTCGTAATGACTTCATTTTATTAATTCAGTAAGCAGATAATAACTGAGTTTAATGATGATGTACAGTTAGTTTGAGGAAGTGAAGCTTATGTCATTGGTTTTATAGGTACTAAAAAGCCTAATTTTGGAATATTTGAATTACTCGTACTACTGAAGCCTTGCATTAACTTTATGAAAATAAAGTGATGTACTCACAGAAGAGGAAGAAGAAGCAGATCAAAGTGTGACAGACTTTCATGCTGAGACTCTGATGGTTTACCACTGACTGTCTTTCTTCACTGGCTAACCAGGAACTTGTTACTTCTTTAAATGATGAAGTCCCTCCTCCAAACACAACACAGCTCTACTCTCCTCAGTACTTATAGTAGATAAAGTACATTATTCAAAAGTTTACATTCACTTTAGATAATAACACGGGAGAAACGGATTTTCTCTCTCTCTCTCTCTCTCTCTCTCTCTCTCTCTCTCTCTCTCTCTCTCTCTCTCTCCTCCTCATCTCGTCTCTCTCTCTCATTCTCTCTCTCTCTCTCTCTCTCGCCTCTCTCTCTCTCTGCTCTCTCTCTCTCCGTCTCTCTCTCTCTCTCTCTCTCTCTCATCTCTCCTCTCTCTCTCTCAATAATTTTCTTGGAATCTTTGGGACACAGTTTGGTAATATTTTGAGTTGTTAAATGAGTTTGATGACGGGCTCTGGGCTTAGTGTGCTTTTAAACTTTTAATGCTGCATGTTTGCAAAATCCTTAGTAACAGTGTTGTTGTTGTTGTTGTTATTGTTCTGACTAAAGGTTTACTCGGTCAGTTCAGAAATGACCACAAACTGTTCAAAGTTCATTTCAAATTTAGCAAACATTTATTCAGATAGAAAGGGTCTCTAGTTACATTTTGAACAAAAAAACTCATGTGAAATATTGTAAACGCCACTTCTCCACATTTACCTGTTCAAGTGAAAGAATGTTTAACTTTTTAATTCTTTTCAAAGAGCCGGTTTGTGCTTGTTGTGTTTCAGTTTGAGAAGTGTGTGTGTTCGGCTGCATTTCCTCTGAAAACCAAACATAATTTAAACCACAAACAGCTCAGTCTGTGAAAGATGAAACTCATTTCCTCCCCGTTAACCCTTTAAACTCCTCTTCCTCCTCTCAGTGGAGATGCAGCCTGTCTGTCTGTGTGGAATATTTTGTACAATATGGACTTAGAAATTATTTATCTATTTATCTAATATATCATATTCCAATAACTTGCATATAGACTCTTATTGCACTATTTCACTATTTCACTTTTTTAAACTACTTGCACTATATTTCTGTTTATCTGTGTTATTGTGTTGCACTGTTGGAGGAGCCTGTGACCTAAGATGTTCATCGTCATAACTACACTGTAGCTATGTTCGTATGACAAAATAAAAACCTTGAACCTTGTTATGCATGCCCGCCAAAAAGGAAATGATATCGTTTCCAAACCTAACTTTTTTAGGTCAATGCAGTTCAATTTGCTGAATTAATTTTAAACCCCCCTTTCTCCATGACAACCAAACAAACCATAAGATGGTTACACGTTGAAATCTCCAGAAAAAGCAAGTGAATGAACCCTGGAGTTCTAAATCTAAGAGGGCATATTGACTGATTAATCAACCCTGAAGTCACAAAAGCATGCATTTGCAGAGACTTCCTGAGAAAGATTTATTTTGGGAGCCTCTAGCAGATTTCTCTTTGAACGCTTTTTGCTAATTGTGTTATAGAGGTAGTTTCCTGTGTGAAGTCTCAGCAGAACCAATGTGAAAACTACAAAGTGAGACTATAAAAACTAACCTGGCTATGAGAAATGTATTTGAAAGCGTATGTGTTTGCAGGATTGTTGCTGAATTTGTATCCTCACGGTTGATTGCAATTATATTGTGAAAACCTTTGGATGAAGGTCAAATGTAAAAAAAAGTTGTTGATTACGCTTTTTATATTAAATACAAATAATGTGACTCATACTCATGGCTGGTCACACCTTTACCCACACAAATAAACAAACAGCTGATGGTCACACAGCTGGGGGAGTTTAACATTAAATACAGAAAGTAAGATGGCGTTATAGAGAAATGACAGAACTACAAAGTGTACTCACTGAGAACGAAGAAGATCAAACTGTGGCAGACGTCCATGTTCGAGTCTCTGATGGTTGAACGCTGTCTCTCTTTCTTCTTCACCGGCAAACCAACACGTTTTCACTTCTCTAAACGATGGAGTCCCTGCTTACAATACAATAAATAGCTTTACTCTCCTCTCTAACACCTGCATGTGTATCACGTATGGTTTCACTTTAAAACTTTGTAACTTAATTCAGGAAAATAATATATTTAGCTTTTAACATTTAAATTATTAAATTATTGTGAAACACATTTCAGAAATAATTTAAGATAACTTTTATTTGTATATGTAGGAAGTGTGTTGTGCAGCAGATGCAGTACAGAGCAGGAAGAGTGCTAATATAAAATACAATATAAAAAATAAAACTATAAAAAAAAGGTGCAAATCCAAATATAAATATAATCAATACAAACAGGTTAAAAGTCTGACACATTACACAACAGTATGAGGAGTGGCATCTTGTATCCCGTACTGACCACATCTATAGTTTCATATGTATTTATTTATATTCCGCTATAATTAAACATTTCTGTAAATGAAGCCTTTAACCAAAATAGTCAATTTAATAGTCAAAGCTAATTCGAAGAAACATATCTTATGCTTATCTGCTAACTTGACTAGAACAGTTTACCTTACAGAGATAACTTTAATACCATATCAAGTGTAATAAAATTAACTTTATAAATAAATTGAAGCCATAAAAGAGCTTTTACTTAAAGTGGACCTATCATGCTATATTTAAATGATATATTGTAGGGCCATACCTATATAAGGTATATTTATAAGTTTCTGTTTTCAAAATACCAAACAGATCATGCATTTTAGCCATGCCTCATTTCGCTCTATGTGCTGTTCTCCAGCACTGTTTTTGCATGGGGCTGATCTCTGTGAGCTGCAGCTGACCACGCCGCCCTGCAGGAGAGGGGAGCCGTGCTCTGATGAAGTCAGAAGAGGGGGAGAAAAATAGATCTCCGTCCTCCGTGTTTTATTATATTATTATATATAGAGTCGTTATTCATTTGTTTTAAAGCTCAATAAATAACAAAGAAGACCTTTGACCGGCACTTTTCTAATTTTGTCTGGAAGATTTAAACTTTAACGGACATCTTGACCGGCGAAAGAAAACCTAACTGAAACTCTGCCGCACGGTCCCCTCGTTCCTTGGAAGAGGCGGAGAGGTGGGTGTTTGTCATCTGCTGGTGGACTAACCGGAGAGAATTACAGTGCTTGCCTCGACGGGGAGGGATTGCATTGAATTAAAGCAGCGGGAGCAAACGCTTGCCTCGGGGAGGGAGAAAAAAAGCCACAGCGGAGAATAAACAGAAGGGTAACCATGGCAACCATGCGCGGGAAGTCTTCTTCGCTGCTTTTGTGGCAGACTACAGCGCCACTTACAGGCCTGGCATATGTACTACAGCGTCTCCAGCGCTTTCGAGCGGCAATGGCTGGCCGTGGCCCAACCCCACATTCCCCTGATAGGTGGAGAGTTGGCCCAATAGCCGTAGCGCCACTTTACTGACGTCAGGACAGTGTTCAGATCTGGATCAGTTTTTATCAGATCCGTTGCAGGCCCTTTTTTAGAGATTTGGGTATGGAGGAAAATAGAGAGGGTTGTCTTTTCTGACACTTGGTGAGTTCCCTGGAACACCGGGGACACATATTCATGTATAAAAGACGTGCATTTTGCATGATAGGTCCCCTTTAAATATCATTTAGCTGACGCTTTTATCCGAAGGGACTTACAATAAGTGCAACCAGCTTTGACCTGAAGCAAACTGTTGAAGCGGCACGTTTATAAAACTAGAGCAGAGCTGGACTTATCATCACATGATGTTATTCAAAGCAGGTTTGAAATAAGTCGATGGTTAAATAATCGTACATATTCCCATAAACATCTCTTAGTTTCAGAATATTTACACGGCTGCTTGATTCACACCAGCTTCTTCTGCCAGACTGTGAGAGTTATTGGGGGTCGTTAACAGTAGAGTACAGAGGGGGCTCATCAGAGCTAGCTTCCACCTGAGGAACAGAGTAGATAACACACTCAGCGTCACCGTGGAAACCGCTTTGGGACGAGCCGACGCTGACAAATTTGATCTCAGAGTAGGTGTGTTGACTCGGGTCGTCTTCAGCCTGGAGTAAAAAACATTGCTTGATTAAATGTGTCTTTAAAAACAGAGCAAAACAAGCAACTGGACTTGGTTGTGAAGTAACGAAAAAAACGTTCAAAAGTTCTGTTTGTTTAGGTATTTTATTCATATGTACATGTAATATAATATTACTGCAGACATTGTCCGAAATGAATCAAAGCCAAATCTGGTATTTCAGTAAATATGAATAGGAAGCAGCAACAGGTACAAACATGTAGCCCTACCGAGCTAATGTTTTGTGATCCCAAAGTTAAAGTTGTATCACATTTTTTGGTGTATTTTGTAAACTAGCTGCAGAGACATCGTTGTAGTAATCATTGGTTTTGGCTCAATTTGGTTGTGTTTATTGAGTGTACATTGAAGAGATTTCCCCAGGAGATCTCACATAGATGCTCGTACACTTAGTTGGTCTACAGAAGAATGAATTAATATGATGCTCAGATTTCCTCAAACTCACCTCTGGTGCAGAAGCACATTGTGTTTCCTCATGAGGGTCTGAAAAACACAACAGACCTTTGAGAAAAAGACTCAGAACAGATTTTCAAACATGACATCACACATTCCCCATTTGAACCAATATTTAGGCCAACTGTTCAAATCAGAGTAAAACAAGATAAATAGATGTGTTTTGTAAACAACAGAATATACAGTATATTTAATCATTAACCATCCTGCCAAATTTCAATTACTAAATGTAATAAATATGTAAAATAAGGATTCAATGAAAAAATAACAAGCTATGGCTGTACATATTTCTGAAATGTATATTAACAACAAAACAAAGCCTCTGATCTGACTTCACTGAGTCTCCAAAATAGAAGAAGCTATCCTCTTAGCTCTCTTTATTTTTATGTGTTTGTGAAAAGGTTACCTCTATAAATGGCAAAGGCTTGTAGGCAGCCTGATTTGTAGTCATTTATTGTGTGTGTGTGTGTGTGTGTGTGTGTGTGTGTGTGTGTGTGTGTGTGTGTGTGTGTGTGTGTGTGTGTGCGTGTGTGTTACCTGGTTCCTCACCTTTGTCTTTACAAGTCCTCTTCCTGCAGAACACCAGCACAGACAGTGATGACACGATGACCAGGACGACCAGAGTCAGAAACACATACAGGACCACAGCTGTTTGAGCACAAGAACAAGTTACAGTTAATGGTAAACTATGACATCTAACACTTAGAGTACCCATCATCTATTTCGTTTTTTTGAGGGGGACAGGTTATCTTTAGGGGAAGACAAAAGGTCAACAGTATTTGCCATATACTGTTGAAATAGAGTACATATTATGAATGCTGGGACCTTAAAGGTGCAGCATTTTAAAATCTAATTTGTAATGTGTTTTGAAAGATGCTAATTGAAATGTGCAGGATGTGATTGTATAAAAAGCATAGAACGATATGATGGAATAATCTTATTGACATTCCAATGCTTTATTATGTTTCATTCTGTAAGTTGTTGCAGCAATTGTATACATTTTTCAGCAACACAGTGTGTGGATGAACCTTCACTTGTTGATGTTTCAGGTTGCTCTGTGGTTTTAGGGGAGGTTGGTAAAGATGTGGAGCTTTCACTTTGGTTTGATGTTTCTGTAGAGGCTGATGAATCTGATGATGAAGGAGTAGAAGAGGTCAGAGCTGTGAAGAAAAACAAGCAAGAAGTCCTGATGAGAGAAATTAGATCCTCCTAGACACAGGGTGTGTTTCAGCTGAACTATTTTAAATTGAGAGTTTAAAACATCATGAGACATGAAAAACATTTTCATTATCAAGCAGAAACTCACCATCAGTGACGATGACCTTAAACCTCTGGTATGGATCGTTAGAGTTAGGTCTGTCCAGACCACACCTGTACCATCCTGAGTCAGACTGGGTCAGCTTTTTGATGCTCACAAACACAAATCCTTCTTTTAGAGATCCTTCAAGATATCTGATGCTGTATCTGCCTTTTTTTAAATCTTTGTAAGTCGTTCCAACAAGAATGTCTCTTTCACATTCCTCCTTGCAGAAGTACATCTCGGTCCCAGAGCGAGTAAAGGAGCATTCAACTACAATATTTCCTCCAGTTCTAGCATTGATTGTTTTTTCTGCAGAAGGATCATCAACAAGTTTTGCTGTTGAAAAACAAAAACAATCAAAAGTTACTATGTGTAGATTACAAATTGTAGTTTCACTATTTTAAACTTTGTATATATATATATATATATATATATATATATATAAATATAATAAAAAGTTCAAATTAACATTAGCGGCATGTATATATAGTAAGAATACAAATCAAAAGATTAATAAATGAATCAAGAAAATATTTTGCAGATTAAATGATTATGAAAACAATCATATTCATTATTTCACAGAAAGTAATGACTTCATGTTACTAATTCAGTAAGCAGATAATAACTGAGTTTAATGATGATGTACAGTTAGTTTGAGGAAGTGAAGCATATGTCATTGGTTGCATAGCTATACTAAAAAGCCTGATTTTGGAATATTTGAATAACTCGTACTGATGAAGCCTTGCATTAACTCAAGAATAACAGAAAAAGAAAACAAATTAAATTACTAACATGAAACTAAAGTGATGTACTCACAGAAGAGGAAGAAGAAGCAGATCAAAGTGTGACAGACTTTCATGCTGAGACTCTGATGGTTTACCACTGACTGTCTTTCTTCACTGGCTAACCGGGAACTTGTAACTTCTTTAAATGATGAAGTCCCTCCTCCAAACACAACACAGCTCTACTCTCCTCCCCAACGCACAAACACTATGGTCTAAAAATACTCCAATGAATGTTGAACTGAATTCAAAATGTTAGTAATTATCAGCAAAATGTACTTTCAGTTTCAGTAAAAGTTATCATTATGCACCAATCTCATCTCTCAATTTCACAGTGTTGTTTTATTATAGAATAGTATATTCTGTTTCTATGTCTAACAAATACATGTAGGAGCCTTATAATGTTGTAGTGTGTCAAGGTGGAGCCAATTGTATATAAGTAGTGTACAGTACTGCATCATATCATCATGTTTCATGTATCAAACGTTACAAGTAGCCTAACTGAGTGTCAGATATCTATAGTTGAGTAAAAAATTATAAAATCTAGAAGCATTACATTTAAATACTCAAGTAAAGAACCAGTTAGTTATGTACAAAAAAGGTTAACATAGAAGCTTAATTCAGGCAGATATTGGCAAAATTAGTAAACTTTTAATTTCCATAATTTCACTACAACGCTCACTTACTCATGTATATGTTGTTGAGTCAACAGTAGAAAAACAAATATTACTGGAAATGATATCTGTAGTTTCATCACATTGTTGCCCCGAAAGAAGGAAGAAGTACTCAGGTCTTGTACTTAAGTAAAAGTAGAAGTAACAGTGTAGGAATACTCTGTTACAAGTACAAGTCCTGTATTCAAAAGGTTACTCAAGTAAAAGTAACATGATTAGCATCAATACTTAAAGTACCAAAAATATAATTATTAAATATGTAAATTCACCAATTCCAGAATAATATATGTTTTGATTATAATGATTGATCATTAAAGTGTTCTCAAAGCTGGTAAAGGTGCAGCTAGTTTTAATTATTCTGTATGCTGCAGGGTAGCTTGTGAATTGACTCCAGGTGTAACTAAAGTCTAATTTAAGTGTTGATTATATTTCACATTATTTATCAAAATGTGCAAAGTAAACCAAGATAATAAATAGATGTAGTGGAGTAAAAGTACACAGATTACCTCTAAATTGTAGTGGAGTAGAAGTACAAAGTAGCAGAAAATGGAAATATCTCAAAGTATCTCAAAATTGTCCACCAGTTGAGTTAATGTACTTAGTTACTTCTCACTTCTGTCCTAATGTTAGTCATACCTGCCAACCCTACCGATTTGGGCGGTAGTCTACCGCTTTTGACATGTTTCTACCGCCTACCGACTTAGCTGACTCCCCCTACCGATTTTCAATCTTCCCAAACTATAACAAATAAAAATGACACTACATAGACACTGGACTCGACTTTTGGCGGACACCGTTTGCAGCGTGTCTGTGATCCCATCATACAAACAGTCCTCTGTGTTTCAGTCGATCGCGAGATGTGTCTAAAAATAGAACAACAATATTCTGTTTTATCGTTAATGTCCTATAACATAATCTTCCTGTGCCAGAATAATGCACATGAACGCATCAAAGCTTTGTGATTGGCGTGACCCCATGTATCGGGGCGTGGCTGGTAGGCAGTGGGCACTAGTTTGCTGTGCAGTCCGCACACACAAGACCACAATTATGGCAGAAGCAAAAGAGCCCAAAATATATAATGTTCACTCCGAGTGGGGAGGATGATTATTTTTGTATCTATTCCAATTCAAAGTCTATCTGTCTCATCTGCAATGCGAGCGTGGCTTTATCGAAGAAGGGTAATTTAGGAGCGGCATTTCAAAACAGTGCACAAACGCTACGAGACGGAATTCCCTCCTAATTCTGCCCTACGCTCCCAAAAGGTGAGGGGCCTGAAAGGACAGCTGAATGCACAGCAGTCCATTTTCACCAGGCCCAACAACAAGAGCAAGGCTGCTACCATAGCATCTTATCGTGTCAGTCACGTTCTTGCAAAACACATGAAGTCTTTCAAAGACGGCGAGGTTGTGAAAGAAGCATTCCTGGAGGCTGCCGACGCGCTTTTTGGGGACAGTAAAAATAACAGTAGCATTTCAACAGGTTTTTGATATAATAAAAACTCAAGTTAGATACCGTTATTAATCAGCTGTAAGTTTTAGTTTGTTTGAACTTATTCATTATAATTATTGTACAAAATGGTATAAGAATGCAAACTTTAAGATCTGTTCTGTTTAAATTGATTATAGTCTATTATCAATTCAGAAACTAGTGTTGCTTGCATCCTATTTTAAAGGCATTTCTTTTTATACTCTACTAAAATGCAAAAAAAAGAAAAGGGTTTGATTCTATTAATTTTGTCTTTTTTATTGCACTTTGGCAGCAGATTCCTGTGTAGCTCCAGATCTGAGTTGTCTTATTAGTAAAACTAATTTATACTTTTGTAGCAACACTATTTTTATATAATGGCAAAGAAAGGGTTCAGTCTTTTCTTTTTTTCCTGTATCATATGTGGCAGCACTGTTCAATGTTTCTTGAAAACATTACCCACTGTAGTATGTGACGTGTGAATAAACTCCCAACTCTGTATCAACAACACTGTTGTGTAACTTCAGTTAAATACTTGTGTGTGTGGAGATTAGAAAGAGGTAAGATAAAGGATCTGCAGTATTTTATGAAGTATTAATCGTACAAAGGTCAGTTTTATACAAGTAGAAGTGTGTATTTACCTGGTAGTAGGCTGTCAGTAATGGCTACACCTCTCTATTTGGACTGGTAGATCTCGGCAGACTGGCAACTTTAAAAGTAGCTCTCGGTTCAAAAAAGGTTGGGCACCCCTGATCTACACTGTCAAGGTTCAAGGTTCTTTATTGTCAAACTAACACAGCTACAGAGTAATTATGTCGTTGAAAATCTTATGTCACAGGCTTCTCCAACAATGCAACTGAAAGAGGACCAGAAACACATTAAAAATATAATAAAATGTGGAGACTTTGGGATATTTATCTCCCATTCTTTTACTTTTCGGGCATTTTACAGACCACACATGTCGTTGATGTCACTGTTTAGTGTTTACCAAACTACCACTTTTTCTGAAAAATGCATAAAATGATGCAATATATGTTAAATACATGGTTTATACATGTAATTACTGGGGTTCTGATTACCTAATTTGGGCGTGCACATTTGCCGCACGCAAACCTACCTCTTTTGGATTTGGAAAGGTTGGCATGTATGGTTAGTTTAAACGGAAAATAACGTTTTTTAACAGAACACGGCTAAGTCTGGAGCTAGCTTAACTTACAGAGGCAGGTAAAGTGAGGTTAGCATATTAACAAGAAAACGGCCCTCCTGATGTTCTTTGTACCTTCTCCATTGAAAAGTGTAACTTTTGTGTAACTGTTTAAACTAAATTAAACTGTGCTCTTATATTATTCATCACTTTCTGCTCATTCTAAGATCAACAATATGAAACGCAGCAGCAGCTCGTTCTTCTCACGTCACTTTCTAACACCGGAAACTGCACTGTAAAACGTATTAAAAACATTTTTTGTTTGTCGATAGTTAAAACAAAAATATTACTATAACATTTCACCTGTAGTTTCATCACATTTTGTTCTCATACTCAATACTACTAAATGTAATGTACTAACATTTAAATTCAAACTGAAAATAACGTTTTTTAACGGCTAAGGGAAACAGTCCTGGAGCTAGCTTAATTTACCGAGGCAGGAGAAGAGCTGTTAGTCCATTAAGAAGAAAACTGCACTCCTGAAGTTCTTCGTACCTTCTGTAGTGAAACATGTCACTGTAATAAGTCATGAATAACACTTAAATTACTGTTCGGGATAAAATATCAACTACGCAGCTCCTCATTCCTCTCAGGTTCACTGTCTCTGACCGGAAACTGCTCTGTAAAACTTCAGTACAGTTTTAGTTAAAGTTTGGACTTGAGGATCCACATCTTTAATTTAAGATTAATATTATATTGCCTTGTTTTTTTTTACTCAACATTAGTTAAAGGGCCCATGTCATGGCCATTTCCACTGATCATAATTACATTGTTGAGGTATACTAAAATAGATTTATACTGTGCAATTTTCCAAACTCACATTGGTTTCGCATACAGCATCTCTGTCAAGCATGTGTATTCAGCAGTATTCACTTTCTCCACTAAACGACTCGTTGGAGCTCTTGCCCCCCCCTCCCTGTGAGCCTAGTGTGCTCCGATTGGTCAGCTCGGCCACTCGTTCTGATTAGTCAACCACCAGAGAGGCTGCGCCCATGTCAGTGCTTTTCCCGGCTGCTCTCAGCGTAACATCAGTCTTATCATGGCGTCGGTACAGCGGTATATTTTATATACATATATATTTTTAACTGTTGTTATAGAAGAGTGTGACGGCCTCAGGGCCTTTGTCTTACGGTGGGGTGGAGCTGAAGAGGGTAATCAGTGCGATCACGGACACCTCCGTAGCCGGTGCTATTAATCCCAGCGGCCCGGAGTCTCTCTCCAAAGCGGCTGCAGAAGGACGAACTGAGCGACCCTCTCCCCTCGACCACCTGTCTCTCCATTTACTACAATAAATGTGCCGTGGTTTTGTAAACTCGTGTATGTCTCCTTGCCTTTCCGTTGTGGCCTACGAGCTACTCTCATAACAAAGAGTAAGTTATTTTTACCCGTTATAAACTACTACTGTTTGATGAGAAATCAAATCATGGTTTGCTATATATGAATTCAGGGAAGAAAGGATAGGCCTACTAAGTATTTCCATTAAACTTTATTTTTAGAAATGTACAAAATGAACATAAATATACATATATACACGGTATATCATCCATTCCTCCTCCTCGCATCTTGCCTGCGCACAGTCGGTGCGGTGCCTTTTAGCACCCTCAGTAGTAGTAGAATCCCTTCCCCGTCATGGATTGTCCGCCAGGATCTGGCTGGACGAAATCAAATGCAAATCACAAAATATTAGAGAAACTTAGTTGTTTTAGATTCGTTAGTAGTAGTTGTGTAATGAACAGCTTGCCTGCTAATATGCTAACCTAGCTTTGTTTACCTTGGTAGCTAACACGATATGAACGTTAGCTTGGAGGAAAGGCAACTATAATGCAGTGTAATAAAACTACTATGAACAAAAGCTAGTGGTTCATATTAGGCTAGCAATAACGTGTTTATAATTGCAATCGTATACGGGTATTCTGCTACGTTCGGTCATACAATGTAACTTGCATGAATACATTGTTTTGCGCTAGCATACAGCTAGCCTCGTTAGCTACATGCAGTATATGTACGGTCACAATGTACGGTAAATCACAGTACAGTATACTGTATGAGTATTCCGTGTGTGTGACTGCAGACATTCTCCTGCCATGACAACATGTAAGGCCATCTGCTGACATTGTAGTTGATATATTTAAACGCTAGCAACGTAGCATCACAAAAATGTTTTTCTGACCGAAACTAGCTCTAGCTCCGTGTGTTAGATCGCTACGCCAGCTATAATGTAATTACGTTTCGCGACTGACCGGCAAATCACCCGGAGTATACTGTCAATAGGTATTTTGTGTGTGAATGCAGACATTCTCCTGCTATGAGATACATGTATGCAAGGCCATCTGCTGATATTAGAGTTGATATATGGAAACTCTAGCAACTTAGTTAGCACTGTGTCAATGGCTTAGCAGTCCAACACAGTTTACACATTTAAACAGTCTTGTTTGATAAATACACAAATAACAATGCAAACTTACAGGTTGTATACCCAGATCTTCCCCTGCTCCAAACGGTCCAAACAAGCTGTGCATATCCGGCCTCAAACTGGGCAATGTTTTGGAAGCTTTCGTCTGTGAAATGCCGGTTCTTCGAACCTCTGGAGGAGGAACACGACGCTGCTGGTGTGGCCATAGCTCTTCGGGATTGGTCCATTTCGTTCCGGGTACCGCATGACATCAGGCGGTACCCGGAACTAAATGGAAGACTCAAATGGGCAGTGACGTATCTCCAACGAGGCGTTTTGGGGAGGTATTTTCTGTGTTAGAGTTTTACTCGCTACAGGGTGTACTTTGAGGGTTTTGACTCTGCACACCGTTTACAAGCATAAAAACCTTCATAACACACAAGGGGACGGGTAATAACCGGAAAAGCATGACATGGGAGCTTTAAAAAATATCATGTGTTCAATACATGAATTATTCATTTTTAATTCCACATTCATCAGCGAAAACACTTTCCGACACTTCATGACAGGGCCGTGGGAAGTAGGGGTGCTGAGGGTGCTGCAGCACCCCCTGGTGTGGAGGACAAGGGGATCTGCACTTCCACAAGATTAAATACAAATATAATACCAAAAAAAACGAATTTTCAGCCTTGATGTAACAACATTCATAATTAAGTAAAGATAACACCGGTACCGGCGGGGATTGTTGTTAGCTTCTGCTGCACTAACGGATATAAGAAGCTGTTTCTACAATAATGTGGAGGGAGAGTTCTGTCCTGTCAGACTGAGAGGCTCAGTGTGGTAAAGGACTCTGAGGGTTTTAGATAGTTCACTTTAGTCTAATTTATCTCAGTGGGTCTCAAACGGTTTGATCACAATTTATGTAGGCTAAACAAATATTTCCAAGGCACTCCTTTATAATTATTAGGATAAATAAAAACAGGTTTGAAATCATTCCAATGCATACTATAGGACAGTAAACCAAAAATATCGTTTAAAACTGGAGAGATTAAAAAATATGCATAAATAAATAAATAAGATATAAATTAACCACAAAAATAAAATAAGTTACATTTATTTGTTATTGGCTATGGTAGGTTATTGGAAATGTTCACATACTTATTTGATTATTAAAATGTAAACCGATCTTTTTCATATGGGTGTTTAAAGTTGTACCCCCTAGATCTAGTCTCTAGTAATTGTGTGCTCAAAGTGCACCAGATTGAAGCATTTTACTTTAAAATGTTAAAAAAAAACATCCCGGGGGGGCATACCCCCGGACCCCCCTAGAGGATGTGACGTCCACCCCCCGATTAAAACATGTTCATACAATACTAAATAAATTTGAAGCCTTTTTATTCACCATGTCAATACGTTTCTCTGTTTGTAGTGTATTGGTCATAGAGGTTTTTCATTGCCAGCTAAAATCTTGCAGCACATTGGTCAGAACCAACCTGTGTCATCCCCACAGCACCCCCCATTTGAAACATGTTCCCACGGCTATGCTTCATGAGTTGAATCAATACAGCATCATCTTCCCTAATGTTAAACATACAACCAAACATATGTTAGGTTAAAGTCAATATCATCTTTTCTTGAGTATTTCCATTTACTGCTATATTATACAATATACTTCATTACACTGCTAGAAGCATTTTACTGCCGCTCTGTTGTTTTTCCTCTGAAAACTAATTGTTTCTCTCTTATATTGTAAGATGTTAATGGACTGCCACCCAGCAAGTGAAAAAAAGCATGCATTTGCAGGGACTTCCTGTGAAGCTGAACATTTATTTTGGGATACATATTTCTCTGTAAGGAAGACATTTTTTAGCAAATTGTGTGAGAGGTAGTTTCCTGTGTTGTGAAGGTACAACATTCTCAGTTACAGTCTGTCTGAACCACTCTAAAGACATGTATTATATATATATATATATATATATATATATATATATATATATATATATTATAAGATATTAAAAAGAACAGAAAAGCCAATGTTGATCGGAGACACATTAGAAAAGGTACAACAATTTAGGAAATCTAATAATCAAATAGAAGTGACTCATACTGGTAGCTGATCACACTTCTAACCACAGGAACAAAAAAGACAGAGACTAATTTTAAATACGCAACACCTGATGAGCACACATCTGGGGGAGTATATCTGTAAATATAAAAAGGGAAATTACATTATATAGAAAATGACAGAAATACAAAGTGTACTCACTAAAAAACCAAGAAGATCAAACCGTGGTAAACTGCAAGCCAACAATACATTCTTTACACCATTTCCCAAAAACTTTGGATAAGATAAAACTTTATTGATACCCAGGAGAATTGTTGTGTCTCAGCTGCAGATCAGAGTCGGAACACTACCAATATAGAATAAAGTGTAAATATTGACAACAAGCAAAAACAACTTAATCCCGTTTCCTTTGGTTGGGCCATTTGTCATATTTACACTTATCTGATATCCGTTTTTACATTTAGCAAAAGTTTTTATGGATAAAAAAGCAAGAGATGTAAAAAACGTTCCCCCACTAGCATTATTGTTTGGGTCTGTGACCGGGGATAAAGCGTGTGGACATTTTTTAAAGGATGCCGCCTAAAGCTGCTGTTTTATGAGCCCAGAGTTAAATAACCCTAACTGTATTTTATGAATTAGAAGCAGTGTCAATGTTTTAGTAATCTTCGGTTTCATCTCCATTTGGTCGTGTATATCTGGCGTGAGTGTGAACAGAAGAGATTTCCACAGGAGGAGATCTGCTCCGGCCGGCCTCCCCGATATCATCGTACACTTGGTCGGTCTACAGGAGAAGAGGTGTGAATATCAGCTGGTTTCACAAACACTTATGATCTGGTTTACCAAAACTTACCTCTGTGACGAAATCATATTGTGTTTCCACAGGAGGTTCTGAAAAAACACAGCAGTACGTTTAGATAATGACACTACACTGGAAAAACATCTTGCTCAGTCAAATGGAGACAAACACAGATTCATCCCTCATCAACTGTCATGTTACCTGGTTCCTCACTTTTGGCTTTACAAGTCCTCTTCCTGCAGAATACCAGCACAGACAGTGATGACACGATGACCAGGACGACCAGAGTCAGACGCACATACAGGATCCCACCTGTGGTTGTTGGAGCACAAACACAGGTCTGTTTTACACTGACAGTTAGTGGTAAGCAGGGTATCTTTGGGGGGAGTATTCTACTGCAGGTCAATAGGATATGCCACAGAGAAGTGGTTACATCTGATTAGCTGTCTATTTAAATGTTCAGTTTGTAAAGAGTGTATACAGGCAAGAACATAGTTATGGAAGAATATCATTGCCATCCCTATGCTCTATTATGTCTCATTGGTTGTTAAAGCTTTATTTATTAAAAATGTGTGTGGATGTACGTGTGGTTTTAGGGGAGGCTGGTGAAGATGTGGAGCTTTCACTTTGGTTTGATGTTTCTGTAGAGGCTGATGGGACGGATGATGAAGGAGAAGAAGTGGTCAGAGCTGTGAACAAAAACAAGCAAGAAGTCCTGATGAGAGAAATGAGATCCTCCCGAGTGTCTGTGTGTGTCAGCTGAATTAAATTGAGTTTAAAACATCAGCAGCTGTCAGTGAAAACTGTCTTCAGAGACATGAACAAACATTTTCATTATCAAGCAGAAACTCACCATCAGTGACGATGAGCCTAAACCTCTGGTATAGATCGTTAGAGTCAGTTCTGTCCAGACCACACCTGTACCATCCTGAGTCAGACTGGGTCAGCTGTTTGATGCTCACATACAACAAAGTTCCTGTTGGAATTATTTGAGTATATCTGATCCTGTATCTGCCTTTTTCCTGATCTGATTTACTAATCGTTTCAACAAGATTGTCTCCTTCACATTCTTCCTTGCAGAAGTACTTATTGTATCTATATTGAGTAAAGTTGCATTGAACTGCAATATTTCCTCCAGTTCTAGCATCAATTGTTTTTTCTGCAGAAGGACCACCATCCAGCATTGCTGTTGAAAAAAACAAACAATCAAAAGTTACAATGTGTAGATTACAAATCTTAGTTTCACCATGTGTGTGTTTTAAAAACTTGATCCAGTCACTGAGGGTTAAGGTGTGACTCTTTAATGAAGGCTTTTTAACTTAAATTAAGAGATTTAGAAAATCCTTATTTTACATTCTGCTCACAATTGGATTTATATTAGATTAGAATGCTTTAATAAAATCGTTGGCTTTGTATTTTTTTTATTATAAATAGTATCTGATTGAGGTTATATGATAATTAATTAATTATGTGAACTTTAGAGATGATCTGTTGCAAAGAATGACATTTATTTTGAAATGTCTTTACCCCTTGAAAGTATCGTATTTATATTATTACATTACTGAGTTACCTTGAATTCATTTGCTCATAACTTAGTAAAACATTACTTATCTAAACACTTCTGCATTAACTGTTCTTGAAAAAAGATGAGCTCGTCTCTTTGTGTAGAAGTGTTTTAAATGGTGAGGTTTAAGCAGAATGCATGTTTTAGGGAAGTACTGAGCATACAGTAAATGACATTAGGACTATACAGCAATAGTTGTGTTAGAGTTAGTTAACGGATGTTTTAATATATTTCTGCTGTTGTAAAACACGGCCCCCAATTAATTTCACTTTCTTTAAGACTTTTCTCCATTTTGGGATTCTTTGTTCACCGTGGAGTCATGCTAGAAAAAGTTATCAAATTCAAGATGATCTGAAAAGGGTAATTTGGGGGTAAAGTATTCCTTTAAAGCCCGACCGCAGCCACAAACCACCAGTTTAGTTGTTAATATTTTCTATTGATCTCAATCTATTACTAATTGTCTTACTTGTTAACAGAACACAGAGCGGCCATATGATCTACTTCATTCAGATAAGAACAGAGACAACAGATCAATATGCTCGTGCCCCTGGTAATACATTCTTCATCAATATATTCTAAACAATAATATTAAAAAACACTTGTCAGGGTTCATACACTTTTTCACCAATGATTTTCAATGATTTTCCATGACTTTTCCAGGACCTTTACCTCATTTTCCATGACCAAAAAAATTACTCTTTCTCAGCGGTACCACTGAAAATGGTTTATTTGAACATGGAACAGGAAAATAAGGTCTGCATATGAAACATGTTGTGCCTATCTAAAACAAATCAAATAGGCTTACTAGCTCCTGGCTAAAGCAACTAAAATCTCTCACCAGCAAAACACCTCATCAGTTAAATGCCATTTTACGTTTCATTACTATACGATACAGTATTTATTATCATTATAGTATTACTATTTCGGCGATTAGATAAAATATAAATTATATTTGATGCAACTTTAGTTACATTTCCATGACTTTTCCAACACTTTGGGAAAAATATTGTTTTCCATAACTTTCCCAGGGCCTGGAATTAGCATTTTGAATTTCCATGACTTTTCCAGGTTTTTAATGACCGTAACAACCCTGACTTGTGTACGTGTGTCAGTTTCGGTTTATCAGTTACTTTCAGAAGACATGTAGGATTTAGATAAGGTAATGGTGAAAAGGTAAAACTATTATTAAGACAATGAAGAAGATTCAGTTTTTAGTAAAACTCACCATCAACAACGATGATCTCAATGTCCTTGTATAAAGCCTTTTTCAAAGATGATCCCGCACCACACCTGTAGCGTCCTGAGTCAGACTTGGTCAGCTGAGTGATGGTGACAGAAAAAACTCCATCTTTATAATCAATGCTGTATCTGCCACTCTGAGCTGTGGCATCAGTTGTTTTAATGAGAATGTCTTCTTGTTCACATGGTTCCTTACAGAAGAACTTCCTGTTTCGATAAGAAGGAAATGAGCATTTAACTCTGGCATTTTCTCCTTCAGTTCCTGAATAGACAGAGAGTTGGGCACTGACGAGACCGGTGTTTCCATCCTGCAGAGCTGAACAAAAGATGAACAAAAGATGCACCATCATTATTAGTGGTCAGTACTTCCCGTAAGATGCTGCAGTCTGATGACAACACTTCCTGTTTCACATGAACACAGATCCTCAGAGTTAAACCACAGCCTGTGACTGAAGATCACCATCAGCACTGCAGGTTAATGTTACCGTTTGGTCTGAAATCTTTATCCTTCTTTAGACACAAAGACTACATGAAGTCTCCATCTGTAACTTTAAGAGTTACATTAAAGCAAATCCTTAAAGTACATAACCTAAAAAGTGTTTCATGTGAACACCACTTTTTTATTTATGACATTTTTGGACAAAACACTTCGATAGATAGATATAAACTTTATTTATCCCAGCAGTGTCAAGCCGTACGCGAGTTATAAATGTTTAAAAGATACAATAAGATACAAATATAATAAAAAGTTCAAACTAACATTAGCGGCATGTATATATAGTAAGAATACAAATCAAAAGATTAATAAATGAATCAAGAAAATATTTTGCAGATTAAATGATTATGAAAACAATCATATTCATTATTTCACAGAAAGAAACTGTCGTAATGACTTCATTTTATTCATTCAGTAAGCAGATAATAACTGAGTTTAATGATGATGTACAGTTAGTTTGAGGAAGTGAAGCATGTCATTGGTTGCATAGGTACTAAAAAGCCTAATTTTGGAATATTTGAATAACTCGTACTGCTGAAGCCTTGCATTAATTTTATGAAAATAAAGGGATGTACTCACAGAAGAAGAGGAAGAAGCAGATCAAAGTGTGAGAGACTTTCATGCTGACACTCTGATGGTTTACCACTGACTGTCTTTCTTCACTGGCTAACCAGGAACTTGTTACTTCTTTAAATGATGAAGCCCCTCCTCCAAACACAACACAGCTCTACTCTCCTCAGTACTTATAGTAGATGAAGTACATTATTCAAAAGTTTACATTCACTTTAGATAATAACACGGGAGATTTTTTTTTTCTCTCTCTCTCTCTCTCTCTCTCTCTCTCTCTCTCTCTCTCTCTCTCTCTCTCTCTCTCTCTCTCTCTCTCTCTCTCTCTCTCTCTCTCTCTCTCTCTCTCCGGAAACCCTGATATGTATCTATATTAATTTAAAATAAAAAACTACAAGTCCATGACTGTTTTTATAAGTTGTTCTTGCATGAAGCCAACAATTTCCCCTTAAAGATAATTTTCTTGGAATCTTTGGGACACAGTTTGGTAAAAAACTAATATTTTTTGTTGTTAAATGAGTTTGATGACGGCCTCTGGCTTTTTAACACTAACACTTTTAATGCTGCATGTTTGCAAAATCCTTAGTAACACATTTTTTTGGGTGTTCTTGTTGTTGTTGTTATTGTTATTGTTCTGACTAAAGGTTTACTCGGTCAGTTCAGAAATGACCACAAACTGTTCAAAGTTCATTTCAAATTTAGCAAACATTTATTCAGATAGAAAGGGTCTCTAGTTACATTTTGAACAAAAAAACTCATGTGAAATATTGTAAACTCCACTTCTCCACATTTACCTGTTCAAGTGAAAGAATGTTTCACTTTTTAATTCTTTTCAAAGAGCCGGTTTGTGCTTGTTGTGTTTCAGTTTGAGAAGTGTGTGTGTTCGGCTGCATTTCCTCTGAAAACCAAACATAATTTAAACCACAAACAGCTCAGTCTGTGAAAGATGAAACTCATTTCCTCCCCGTTAACCCTTTAAACTCCTCTTCCTCCTCTCAGTGGAGATGCAGCCCGTCTGTCTGTGTGGAATATTCTTTACAGTATGGACTTAGCAGAACAGCTTCATGGAGCGATATACAAATATATTTTCAAGTATCTTTTATGGAATAAATTTGGTTAAAAAAAAAAAACTGGATTTCTCTTTATTTATTTCTCCAAGTTGTGGTGGCTCTACTCTTCAGCCACCTCCCTTGTGTGTTTGTTTTCCCTTTCCCTGTCTGTGTGGGCGTGGTGGCTGTCACTCCTGGCTCCCGGCTCAATCTCCACCTGCTGCAATCAGCTGTACACACCTGATTTCCATCAGCCATTTACTAATGGCATATCAGCGGAGGCTCCACAACCTGTCAGCGCCAGATCGTTGTTTAAACCCCAGTGGTAAAACTCTCAGCCTTCTTAGCCTTCTTAGCTATTTTTCTCTACACTGAATGTTATTCTCACGTGTTTTTCTTGTGCTCCAGGATCACTCTCCAGCCGCCTTGTTGCCATCACCAGCCGCCACCAGTCGTCATTCCTGCCGGATTACTCTCCACGCTCCTCCACCTCAAAATAAACCTTTTTTCCAACACTCTGCCGTGTCCTGCGTTTGGGTCCTATCAGATAACGTAACAGAACGATCTGGCCAGTATGGACCCAGCGGACACAGGCCACCAGTCCAAGACTGCGGACGAACTCAGCCAAGCCCTGGCCAATCAAGGCGCTCTCGTGGGGCATCACGACGTGGTTCTCCGTGAGGTTGTGGAGACTCTCCGGAACCTCTCCGCTAACGTGCAAAGGATCGGCACGCAAGTAGAACTGCTCACCTCACAGTCTTCTCCCCTGCAGCCCGCTGCACAGCCGACAGCCCCTCCCCCCGCTCCTGCCGCACCTCTCCATCAGCTACGAGAGGCTGTCATTCCTACACCGGAGCGATACGCTGGAGATTTGGGTATTTGTAGAGCCTTTTTGTTCCAGTGTTCGTTAGTTTTTGAGCAGCAGCCTAGTACTTATCATGCAGATGGGGCTAGGGTAGCATATGTAATGAGTCTGTTGAGGGGGAGTGCTTTAGATTGGGCTACAGCCGTTAGGGAGAGCCAGCCACACATTTGCTTATCATTTGATACTTTCATTTCCGAAATGAAAAAAGTTTTTGATCACCCGTTACGGGTGAGGGACGCTTCCAGGCACCTTCTTTCTCTCCGGCAGGGCTCCCGTAGTGTAGCCGAATTTTCAGTTGAGTTTAGAACAGTTGCTGCTGACTCAGGCTGGAATAACGAGTCATTGCAGGATGTTTTTCTTCATGGGCTGAACGAAGCAATTAAAGACGAGCTAGCTGCCAGGGATGATCCAGTTAGCTTGGATAATTTAATTGCCACAGCTATCAGAGAGAGACGTAGGGATAGGAATAGCCGTCACCCCAATCCCAGCTACTCCTCACCTGATCCCCAAATTGGCACTGCCACTGCCCCAATCTCCAGATCCTTCCCAACTCCTTTCTCGGTTTCACCCCCCGAAGATGAGCCCATGCAAGTGGGAAGGGCCCGCCTCTCACCATCTGAGCGGGCTAGAAGGACCCAGGCTGGGGAATGTGTTTATTGCAGCCAAACCAGTCATCTCGTTTCCTCCTGTCCTAATCTGCCAAAAGGTCAGGCTCGTCAGTAGCTGTGGGGATTCTGGCGAGCCCTTCCTCCTCTCTCAACCCCCGACCCAGAACGCAGCTAGAAGCCGTGCTTTGCTGCAACCAACAGTCACTACCCCTGCTCGCCTTAGTGGACTCGGGGGCGGACGAGAACTTTTTGGACATTGACATTGCAGCTCAGGCAGGAATTCCCTGCGAAGTGTTAGATTCACCTCTTAATGCCAATGCTCTAAATGGAAAATTCCTGGCCCAAGTCACTCACCGCACCAAGCCAGTAAACCTCATTCTGTCTGGAAACCATCGTGAGTTTATTCAGTTTCACCTAATTTCCTCACCTCATGACCCCATAGTGTTGGGCCATCCCTGGTTAAGAACACACAACCCCCAGATTGATTGGGTAACTGGCAAAATCATTAGTTGGAGTTTTTTTTGTTTATCCTCATGCCTGCAGTCTGCCCTACCGCCAGCAGAGGCCGCCGCTCCACCACCCAAGATCGAGCCGCCTGACCTGTTATCTGTCCCCACTGAATATCCTAACCTAGGAGAGGTGTTCAGTAAACAGCAAGCTCTTTCTCTTCCTCCTCATCGACCCTACGACTGTCCCATTGACCTCCTTCCCGGGGCCCCTCTGCCTTCCTCACGTCTGTTCAACCTGTCTTGCCCTGAGAGAAAATCCATGGAGAGTTACATCCATGACTCCCTGGCTGCCGGTGTCATCCGCCCATCCTCCTCCCCGGTCGGTGCTGGTTTTTTCTTCGTGTCCAAGAAGGACCGCTCACTGCGGCCCTGCATTGATTACAGGGGTCTTAATGCCATCACTGTAAAAAACAAATATCCATTACCCCTCATTAACTCCGCCTTTGAACCCCTCCAGGAAGCCACCATTTTTTCCAAACTGGACCTCCGCAATGCCTACCACCTCGTCAGAATCCGTGAAGGGGACGAGTGGAAGACTGCCTTTAACACACCACTCGGTCACTTTGAGTATCTGGTGATGCCTTTTGGACTGACGAATGCCCCAGCAGTTTTTCAGTCGATGGTGAACGATGTGCTCCTTGACCTCCTCAACCGGTCAGCCTTTGTCTACTTGGATGACATTCTCATATTCTCTCGTAACAAGGAGGAGCACATTATCCATGTCAGGCAGGTGCTGCAGAGACTCCTTAAAAACAGACTCTTTGTGAAGGCGGAGAAATGCGAATTCCATGTCAACACAGTCTCATTCCTGGGCTCAGTTAAACAGCTTCAACAGTTTCTTGGTTTCGCCAATTTCTATCGGCGCTTCATCAGAGACTACAGCAGAGTGGCGGGCCCTTTAACCAGACTCACTTCCCCTACAACTGTTTTTTTCTGGACCCCAGAGTGCGATGCAGCCTTCTCGGAGCTAAAGAGACTCTTCACCACTGCCCCTGTGCTCATCCACCCTGATTCCTCTTGCCAGTTCGTGGTGGAGGTCGATGCCTCCAACACCGGGGTAGGGGCAGTTCTTTCCCAGCGCTCGGAACGAGACCAAAAATTACATCCTTGTGCATTTTTCTCTCGCCGCCTCACTCCAGCTGAGAAGAACTATGATGTGGGTAACAGAGAGCTGCTGGCTGTCAAACTTGCCCTAGAGGAGTGGAGGTACTGGCTGGAGGGAGCCGAGCTCCCTTTTATTGTATGGACAGACCACAAAAACTTGGCGTACATCCAATCTGCCAAGCGCCTTAACTCCCGTCAGGCTCGATGGGCCCTGTATTTCGGCCGCTTCTCATTCACCCTTACCTACCGTCCAGGGTCACGGAACCTCAAGCTGGACGCTCTCTCTCGCCAGTTCGCTTCTGAAGGACCAGCTGCCAGTCCAGACACTATCCTACCTGCCTCCTGCGTGGTGGCGGCTGTTACCTGGGAGATTGAGTCATTGGTGAAGGAGGCTCAGCGGGCGCAGCCTAACCCAGGTAACTGCCCAGCTAATAGTCTTTTTGTGCCTACCCCTGTTCACCCCAAGGTCCTGCAGTGGGCACACGCCTCCCGTCTCTCGTGTCATCCTGGTGTCCATCGCACACTGTTTATACTAAGACAACGGTTCTGGTGGCCTTCCATGGCTCAAGACACCAGGGCCTTTGTTGCTGCCTGTACAGTATGTGCCCGCGCCAAGTCCTCCCACCAATCTCCCTCTGGCCTGCTTCGCCCGCTGCCGGTACCTAGTCGCCCTTGGTCGCATGTGGCCTTGGATTTTGTTACTGGACTTCCACTTTCACAAGGAAATACCATCATCCTAACTATTGTGGACAGATTTTCCAAGATGGTACACTTTGTTGCTCTTCCCAAGCTTCCCACAGCCCGAGAGACTGCAGATCTTCTGGTCAATCATGTTGTTCGACTCCATGGGATTCCCACCGACATCGTCTCTGACCGGGGTCCCCAGTTCATTTCCCACGTTTGGAAGGCCTTCTGTCAGGCTCTGGGAGCATCAGTGAGCCTGTCATCTGGCTATCATCCTCAGACGAACGGGCAAACGGAACGGGCCAACCAGGATCTGGGGGCAGCTCTTCGCTGTGTGGCTTTCAGGAACCCTTCGTCATGGTGCCCACATCTGCCATGGATCGAATATGCCCACAACTCCCTGTCAAATGCAGCCACAGGTATTTCACCCTTTCATTGTGCCATGGGTTTCCAACCACCCCTGTTTCCATCCCAGGAATAGGAAGTTGCTGTTCCTTCCGTTCAGACCCACCTTCGTTGCTGTCGTAAGGTGTGGAGGGACACCCGAGCCGCCCTGCTCCGCTCCGCTGCCCGCAACCGCCTCATCGCAGACCGCCACAGGACCCCGGCCCCCAACTACTTACCAGGTCAGAGTGTTTGGCTTTCCTCCAAAGATCTCCCACTCAAGACAGAGTCGAAGAAACTCACGCCACGTTATGTCGGCCCCTTCATCATCGACTCAGTTATCAATCCATCTGCAGTCAAGCTCAAGCTTCCCCCACACATGAAGGTTCATCTGACATTTCATGTCTCTCTGTTGAAACCTGTTGCCAGCAGCCCCTTGTCTCCTCCAGTGAGTGTTCCCCCACCCCCCCGCATCATCAATGATCACCCAACCTACACCGTCAGGCGATTGTTGGACGTTCGTCGCCGTGGAAGGGGATTCCAATATCTTGTGGATTGGGAGGGCTATGGTCCAGAGGAGAGGTCTTGGGTTCCCCGGCAGTGTTAGAAATTGAGGGGAAAAAATGCCCCGAAAATATCAGAAAGACCCCAAAAAATTGCAAATGTGAAGAAAGATATCCAAGTTATTCCGATATACTAATCCACCATTATGTGTTTGATTCTGTGTCTGGTTATGAGCCCTCTTCACCTCTGGAAACCTGCAGGTCATAGATGTTTCCAGAAGTTAAATTGAATCCAGTTGAGGCTAAAATGAGGGTTTGTGATACCATTTTCATGACTTGTGTCACTTATAATTAAATGTTGTCAAGAAAATTATTGTGGCTACACCTTCAATGCAGGAAGACATCTTATGGGGACTTTGCTTCTTTTGAATATGTGGCCCTTCAGCTGAAATGCTCCTCTCCAGCTCTGTTCCTAAATATCTGTCTATAGTGTGTATTGACTTTGACCGTCTAGTCATTGTTGGTGATTTTAACATCCATGTTGACAACCCCCAGGACAGAGGGGCTAAAGAACTGTTTTGTGTTCTTGATAACTATGGACTGACTCAGCATGTGCCGGAGCCCACGCACAATAAGGGGCACACTCTGGACTTAATGATCTCAAAGGGTCTGAATATCTCTGAGGTTGTGGTGACTGACGTTGCACTCTCTGATCATTCCTGTGTTGTCTTTGAGAGCTCTATTTCTGTTCACAAAAATGTTCAAAAAGAGGTAACCACAAAGAGATAAGATCTTTAATTTGTCATTGTACAAGTACAACAAAATTACAATGTGAACTCAAGGTGCCAACGCGCAACAACAAGACAATATAAAAACATGAAATGGGACTTAAATAGAAATGAAAGGGAAGCGATGTTTAACTGAAAATACTAGGGAAATGTTTACTCAGAATTTTTCTTCCACACTTGCCCCTGCTAACATCGCAGTAAATGAGCTAGTAGATCGTTTTAATTCAAAAATAAAAAATGTTATAGATGCCATTGCTCCAACTAAGGTAAAGGAAGTGTCTGGCAAGAAAATATCTCCATGGAGAAAGGCCATGACCGTGAGAACAGAAAAAAGAGTGTGTCGAAAAGCTGAACGTCGGTGTGCGAAAAACAAATCTCCAGGTTCATTTTAACTGCTGAAACAACATCCATAACATTCATCTGCTACTTAGAAATTATTTATCTATTTATCTAATAAATCATATTCCAATAACTTGCATATAGACTCTTATTGCACTATTTCACTTTTTTAAACTACTTGCACTATATTTCTGTTTATCTGTTTTATTGTGTTGCACTGTTGGAGGAGCCTGTGACCTAAGATGTTCATCGTCATAACTACACTGGAGCTATGTTCGTTTGACAAAATAAAAACCTTGAACCTTGTTATGCATGCCCGCCAAAAAGGAAATGATATCGTTTCCAAACCTAACTTTTTTAGGTCAATGCAGTTCAATTTGCTGAATTAATTTTAAACCCCCCTTTCTCCATGACAACCAAACAACCAATAAGATGGTTACAGGTTGAAATCTCCAGTAAAAGAAAGTGAATGAACCCTGGAGTTCTAAATCTAAGAGGGCATATTGACGGATTAATCAACCCTGAAGTCACAAAAGCATGCATTTGCAGAGACTTCCTGAGAAAGATTTATTTTGGGAGCCTCTAGCAGGTTTCTCCGAGAACGCTTTTTGCTTATTGTGTTATAGGGGTAGTTTCCTGTGTGAAGTCTCAGCAGAACCAATGTGAAAACTACAAAGTGAGACTATTAAAACTAACCTGGCTATGAGAAATGTATTTGAAAGCGTATGTGTTTGCAGGATTGTTGCTGAATTTGTATCCTCATGGTTGATTGCAATTATATTGTAAAAACCTTTGGATGAAGGTCAAATGTAAAAAAAGTTGTGGATTAAAAATACATTAGGAATATGCTCACACGTTTTTAATATTGCTGCCTTTGACACAATATCCCATAGTATCCTCCTCAGCCGCCTGTCAGACTACCTTGGCCTCAGTCACACAGCTCTTGCCTGGTTCGAGTCCTACCTCTCTAACAGGACTCACTTTGTTACCATCAGTGACTGCAGCTCCCCTCTGGCCCCAGTTAACCAAGGTGTACCTCAAGGTTCTGTGCTTGGACCCCTCCTATTCACCATCTACATGCTCCCACTTGGTCAAATCATCCGCCAACATGGTCTCAGCTTCCACTCGTATGCCGATGACACACAGCTCTATTTCTGCACCAAACCGTCCACACAGCTCCCACCTCTTTCCCTTGTCAACTGCCTCCAGGACATAAAAAACTGGATGTCATCAAACCTGCTAAAAATAAACAGCAACAAAACTGAGCTCATCATTGTGGCTCCCAAGGCGCAGCTCCAGAAGGTTGGTGACCTGCTTCTCACCATTGACGGCTGCTCCATCTCCCCGTCCACTGAAGTCCGCAACCTGGGAGTCATCCTGGACTCCACCCTCTCTTTCCAGGCGCATATCAAATCCATTACCAAATCCGCCTTCTACCATCTCAAAAACATTGCCAGACTCCGCCCCTCACTCTCTGACTCAGTGGCAGAAACACTCATACACGCCTTCATCACATCCCGTCTGGACTACTGCAATGGAGTCCTGGCCAGGCTCCAATATGTCCAGAACTCTGCCGCCAGGCTTCTCACCCGCACTAAGCCATGGCAACACATCACCCCCACCCTCATCCACCTCCACTGGCTGCCGGTCAAGTCCCGGATTCACTATAAAACACTCATCCTCACGTACAAGTCCCTCCATACCCTCGCCCCCCAGTACTTAACTGACCTCCTACATCCCTACACCCCTTCTCGGAGTCTGCCGTCCTCCGACACGGGCCTGCTCTCCATCCCCCGCTCTCGCCTTCGTACTGTGGGTGACAGGGCGTTCAGTGTTGCGGCCCCCACCCTCTGGAATGCACTTCCTCCCGAGATCCGGAACGCTGCCTCACTGGACATCTTCAAATCCTCATTAAAAACTCACCTGTTCACCGTGGCCTTCGGACCCTAGTCCTTTCCTGGTCCCCTGGCTTCCTTTATTTTATTTTATTTTGTCTTGTTTTGTTCGCTCCTCATTGTCTGTTTTGTTTTGTCTGTCCACTATGTACAGCGACCTTGGGTCCCGTGAAAGGCGCTTTATAAATTCCATTTATTATTATTATATTAAATACAAATAATGTGACTCATGCATGGCTGGTCACACCTTTACCCACACAAACAAACAAACAGCTGATGGTCACACGGCTGGGGGAGCTTAAAGTGGACCTATCATGCTATATTTGAATAATATAGTGTAGGACCATACCTATATAAGGTATATTTATACTTGTAAATCTGTAAATACCAAACAGATCATGCATTTTAGCCATGCCTCATTTTGCTCAATTTGACAATTTATAGCTCTGTTTTTGCAAGGGCAGATTCTGTGAGCAACAGCACCATCTAGAGGCCTGGCATATGTACTATAGCGTCTCCAGCGCTTTCGAACGGCAATGGCCGTGGCTGTCTCCTCCTGATTGGTGGAGTTGGCCCAATAGCCGTAGCGCCACCGTCCTGACGTCAGGACAGTGTTCAAATCTGGATCAGTTTTTATCAGATCCGTTGCAGCCCCTTTTTTAGAGATTTGGGTATGGAGGAAAATAGAGAGGGTTGTGTTTTCTGACACTTGGTGAGTTCCCTGGAACACCGGGGACACATATTCATGTATAAAAGACGTACAAAAGTGCATTTTGCATGATAGGTCCCCTTTAACATTAAATACAGAAAGGAAGATGACGTTATAGAGAAATGACAGAACTACAAAGTGTACTCACTGAGGACGAAGAAGATCAAACTGAGGCAGACGTCCATGTTCGAGTCTCTGATGGTTGAACGCTGTCTCTCTTTCTTTCACCGGCAAACCAACACGTTTTCACTTCTCTAAACCATGGAGTCCCTGCTTAAAATACAACACTCACAGCTTGACTCTCCTCTCTAACACCTGCATGTGTATCACGTATGGTTTCACTTTAAAACGGATAAACGTGTGTCAGCTGAATAATAATAAATGGAATTTATAAGTGCAACCAGCTTTGACCTGAAGCAAACTGTTGAAGCCGCACATTTGTGAACTAGAGCAGAGCTGGACTTATCATCACATGAGGTCATTCAAAGCAGGTTTGAAATAAGTAAATGGTTAAATAATCGTACATATTCCCACAAACATCTCTCTGTTTCCGAATATGTTCACGGCTGCTTAATTCACACCAGCTTCTTCTGCCAGACTGTGAGAGTTATTGGGGGTTGTTAACAGTAGAGTACAGAACGGGCTCGTCAGAGCTAGCTTCCACCTGAGGAACAGAGTAGATAACACACTCAGCGTCACCGTGGAAACCGCTGTGGGACGAGCCGACGCTGACAAATTTGATCTCAGAGTAGGTGTGTTGACTCGGGTCGTCTTCAGCCTGGAGAAAACAACATTGCTTGATTAAATGTGTCTTTAAAAACAGAACAAAACAAGCAACTGGACTTCGTTGTGAAGTTACGAAATAAACTTTCAGAAGTTGTGTTTGTTTAGGTATTTTATTCATATTTACACGTATTATATTACTTCAGACATTGTCCGAAATGAATCAAAGCCAAATCTGGTATTTCAGTAAATATGAATAGGAAGCAGCAACAGGTACAAACATGTAGCCCTACCGAGCAAATGTTTTGTGATCCCAAAGTTAAAGTTGTATAAAAAATGTTGGTGTATTTTGTAAACTAGCTGCAGTGACATCGTTGTAGTAATCATTGGTTTTGGCTCAATTTGGTTGTGTTTATTTGGCGTAAGGGTACATTAAAGAGATTTCCCCAGGAGATCTCACATAGATGCTTGTACACTTTGTTGGTCTACAGAAAACTGTATTAATATGATGCTCAGATTTCCTCAAACTCACCTCTGGTGCAGAAGCACATTGTGTTTCCTCATGAGGTTCTGAAAAACACAACAGACCTTTGAGAAAAAGACTCAGAACAGATTTTCAAACATGACATCACACATTCACCATTTGAACCAATATTTAGACTAACTGTTCAAATCTGAGTAAAACAAGATAAATAGATGTGTTTTGAGTTTGTAAACTCCAGTGGTGGCGTGTGGCACAGTGGGTTGTGTGCAGGTGTTCAGATCAGGGGGTCACAGGTTCAAACCCCACTGCAGTCGTTGTGTCCCTGGGAAAGACACTTCACCCCAAATTGCTCCTGTGGGGATTGTCCACAGTATTGAGTATGTAAGTCGCTTTGGATAAAAGCATCTAACAAGTAACATGTAATGTAAACAACAGAATATACAGTATATTTAATCATTAACCATCCTGCCAAATTTAAACTATTAAAACAAATTGAATAAGTATATAAAATAAAGTTTCAATGAAAAAAATAACAAGCTACTGTATGGCTGTACATGTTTCTAAAATGCATATTAACTTTAAAAAAAGCCTCTGATCTGACTTCACTGAGTCTCCAAAATAGAGGAAGCTATCCTCTCAGCTCTCTCTATTTGTGTGTGTTTGTGAAAAGCTTATTTTTATAAATGGCATATGTTTTGTCGATAGACTGATTTGCAGTCAGGTGTGATTTAGATTTAAATGTGTGTTTTTTTAAATATCGTATTATTGTGCAGTTGTATAGATACTACTAGACTATATGTTCTATGTTTGTTATGTTGCAATTTACAAAGCACAAATCTAGCATCTGTTTCCTAGCAACAACTGAAGGATTATCACTCTACAAGAACCTGTGATAACAAAACCTTTAGACTGAGCAGCAGTTGGGTTATTTTTAATGCTGTAAATGAATATCCGTACACCCAATCTGGTGATGGGGGATGGACATTTTGTGTGAGAAAGTTATTTTAGAATTGTGCGTCTGCTTTTAAAGTTAATATAGGTCAAGAGAAAACTACAACTTTTCAGTGAGACATTTTTAGAGTGTGTGTGTGTGTGTGTGTGTGTGTGTGTGTGTGTGTGTGTGTGTGTGTGTGTGTGTGTGTGTGTGTGTGTGTGTGTGTGTTACCTGGTTCCTCACTTTTGGCTTTACAAGTCCTCTTCCTGCAGAATACCAGCACAGACAGTGATGACACGATGACCAGGACGACCAGAGTCAGAGACACATACAGGATCACATCTGTGGTTGTTTTGAAGAGTTACATGTAAACCATGACATCTAACACTTAGAGTACCCATAATCCATTTTGTTTTTCAAGGGGGGGACAAGTTATCTTTCGGTGAAGACAACAGCTCAAAAGTATTTATAGAGTAAATCTTTTGAACACTGGGAACCTGATTTGGAGGTTCAGCATTTTAAAATCTACTTTTGTAAACTTTTGGACATTCTCATGCTCTTTTATGTCTCATAAGTTGTTGAAACTTTATCTAGTAAACACAGTGTGTGGATGTACCTTTAGTTGTTTCAGGCTGCTCTGTAGTTTTAGGAGAAGTGGTCAGAGCTGTGAAGAAAAACAAGCAGACACAAAGAAGTCCTGATGAGAGAAATGAGATCCTTGTGTCTGTGTGTGTCAGCTGAACTCTTTTAAATTGAGTTTAAAACATCAGCAGCTGTCAGTGAAAACTGTCTTCAGAGACATGAACAAACATTTTCATTATCAAGCAGAAACTCACCATCAGTGATGATGAGCCTAAACCTCTGGTATGGATCTTTAGAGGAAGTTCTGCCCAGACCACACCTGTACCATCCTGAGTCAGACTGGGTCAGCTGTTTGATGCTCACATACAACAAAGTTCCTGTTGGAATTATTTGAGTATATCTGATCCTGTATCTGCCTTTTTCCTGATCTGATTTACTAATCGTTTCAACAAGATTGTCTCCTCCTTCACATTCTTCCTTGCAGAAGTACTTCTTGTATCTATATTGAGTAAAGTTACATTGAACTACAATATTTCCTCCAGTTCTAGCATCGATTGTTTTTTCTGCAGAAGGACCACCATCCAGCATTGCTGTTGAAAAAAACAAACAATCAAAAGTTACAATGTGTAGATTACAAATCATAGTTTCACCATGTGTGTTTTAAAAACTTGATCCAGTCACTGAGGGTTAAGGTGTGACTCTTTAATGAAGGCTTTTTAACTTAAAGGTCCCATGACATGGCCATTTCTACTGATCATAATTCCATTGTTGAGGTCTACTAGAATAGATTTATATTGTTCAGTGTTCCAAACTCACATTGGTTTCTCATACAGCATCTCTGTATAGTATGTGTATTCACTCTCTGTCCTAAACGGCTTGTTGGAGCCCCTGCCCCCCCCTCCCTGTGAGCCCACTGTGCTCTGATTGGTCAGCTCGCCCACTGGCTCGCTGCTGCGAGGAGCTGGCTTACTGGTGTAGTTTCCTGCTTGCTGCGAGACATCGCAAATGGACACGGGGTGCTGAGGGGGCCACAGTTTCGCCGTGCTGCGAGGCTCCACTAGCACCCCCCCCCCCAGCGCGTCACAAGAGTGTGTGTGTGTGCGAGGAGCTCCACGGATTGGTCCATTTGGGTATTTGGGTATGGGCACGTCACTGTACCCAGGAAGAACACAATGGAAAAAGAGAAATCTCCAACGAGGCGTTCTGGGGCAGCATAGACAGGTCTTTTCTGTGTTAGAGTTTTACTCGCTACAGGGTGTACTTTGAGGGTTTGTGACTCTGCAGACCGTTCACATGCAGAAAAACCTTCATAACACACAAGGGGACGGGTAATAACCAGAAAAGCATGACCTTTAAATTCTTCCAAGAGATTTAGAAAATCATTATTTTACACTGTGCTCACAATTGGATTTTACATCATTATATTTTGGATTTATATTAGATTAGAATGCTTTAATAAAATAGTTGGCTTTGACATTTTTATTATAAATAGTATCTGATTGAGGTTAACTGATAATTCAATATGTGAACTTTAGGAAGAAGATCTGTTGCAAAGATTGACATTTATTTTTAAAATAATTTCTTTATCCCTTGAAATGAACATTGTTATATTATTACATTACTGAGTTACCTTGAATTCATAGGCTCATAACTTCCCTAAAACCTTACTTATCTAAACACTTCTGCATTAACTGTTCTTGAGAAAAGAGGAGCTTCTCTCTTTCTGCAGAAGTGTTTTAAATGGTGAGGTTTAAGTAGAATGCATGTTTTAGGGAAGTACTGAGCATACAGTGAATGACATTTGGACTAAACAGCATTAGTTGTGTTAGAGTTAGTTAACGGATGTTTTCATATATGTCTGCTGTTGTAAAACACGGCCCCCAATTAATTTAACATTCTTTAAGACTTTTCTCCATTTTGGGATTCTTTGTTCACCGTGGAGTCATGCTAGAAAAAGTTATCAAATTCAAGATGATCTGAAAATGGTAATTTGGGGGTAAAGTATTCCTTTAAAGCCCGACCACAGCCACACACCACCAGTTCAGTTGTTAATATTTTCTATTGATTTCAATCTATTACTAATTGTCTTACTTGTTAACAGAACACAGAGCGGCCATATGATCTACTTCATTCAGATAAGAACAGAGACAACAGATCAATATGCTCGTGCCCCTGGTAATACATTCTTCATCAACATATTCTAAACAATAATATTAAAAAACACTTGTCAGGGTTCATACACTTTTTCACCAATGATTTTCAATGATTTTCCATGACTTTTCCATGACCTTTACCTAATTTTCCATGACCAAAAAAATTACTGTTTCTCAGCGGTACCACTGAAAATGGTTTATTTTAACATGGAACAGGAAAATAAGGTCTGCATATGAAACATGTTGTGCCTATCTAAAACAAATCAAATAGGCTTACTAGCTCCTGGCTAAAGCAACTAAAATCTCTCACCAGCAAAACACCTCAACAGTTAAATGCCATTTTACGTTTCATTACTATACGATACAGTATTTATTATCATTATAGTATTACTATTTCGGCGATTAGATAAAATATAAATTATATTTGATGCAACTTTAGTTACATTTCCATGACTTTTCCAACACTTTGGGAAAAATATTGTTTTCCATAACTTTCCCAGGGCCTGGAATTAGCATTTTGAATTTCCATGACTTTTCCAGGTTTTTAATGACCGTAACAACCCTGACTTGTGTACGTGTGTCAGTTTCGGTTTATCAGTTACTTTCAGAAGACATGTAGGATTTAGATAAGGTAATGGTGAAAAGGTAAAACTATTATTAAGACAAGGAAGAAGATTCAGTTTTTAGTAAAACTCACCATCAACAACGATGATCTCAATTTCCTCGTATAAAGCCTGTTTCAAAGATGATCCCGCACCACACCTGTAGCGTCCTGAGTCAGACTTGGTCAGCTGAGTGATGGTGACAGAAAAAACTCCATCTTTATAATCAATCCTGTATCTGCCTCTCTGAGCTGTGGCATTGGTTGTTTCAATGAGAATGTCTTCTTGTTCACATGGTTCCTTACAGAAGATCTTCCTGTTTCTATAAGAAGGAAATGAGCATTTAACTCTGGCATTTTCTCCTTCAATTCCTGAATAGACAGAGAGTTGGGCACTGACGAGACCGGTGTTTCCATCCTGCAGAGCTGAACAAAAGATGAACAAAAGTTGAGCCATCATTAGTAGTGGTCAGTACTTCCTGTAAGATGCTGCAGTCTGATCACAACACTTCCTGTTTCACATGAACACAGATCCTCAGAGTTAAACCACAGCCTGTGACTGAAGGTCACCATCAGCACTGCAGGTTAATGTTACCGTTTGGTCTGAGATCTTTATCCTTCTTTAGACACAAAGACTACATGAAGTCTCCATCTGTAACTTTAAGAGTTACTTTAACGCAAATCCTTAAAGTACATAACCTAAAAAGTGTTTTATGTCAACACCACTTTTTTATTTATGACATTTTTGGACAAAACACTTCGATAGATAGATATAAACTTTATTTATCCCAGCAGTGTCAAGCCGTACGCGAGTTATAAATGTTTAAAAGATACAATAAGATACAAATATAATAAAAAGTTCAAACTAACATTAGCGGCATGTATATATAGTAAGAATACAAATCAAAAGATTAATAAATGAATCAAGAAAATATTTTGCAGATGAAATGATTATGAAAACAATCATATTCATTATTTCACAGAAAGAAACTGTCGTAATGACTTCATTTTATTCATTCAGTAAGCAGATAATAACTGAGTTTAATGATGATGTACAGTTAGTTTGAGGAAGTGAAGCATGTGTCATTGGTTGCATAGGTACTAAAAAGCCTAATTTTGGAATATTTGAATAACTCGTACTGCTGGAGCCTTGCATTAACTTTATGAAAATAAAGGGATGTACTCACAGAAGAGGAAGAAGAAGCAGATCAAAGTGTGACAGACTTTCATGCTGAGACTCTGATGGTTTACCACTGACTGTCTTTCTTTACTGGCTAACCAGGAACTACTTCTTTAAATGATGAAGCCCCTCCTCCAAACACAACACAGCTCTACTCTCCTCAGTACTTATAGTAGATAAAGTACATTATTCAAAGGTTTACATTCACTTTAGATAATAACACGGGAGATTTTTTCTCTCTCTCTCTCTCTACGGAAACCCTGATATGTATCTATATTAATTTAAAATAAAAAACTACAAGTCCATGACTGTTTTTATAAGTTGTTCTTGCATGAAGCCAACAATTTCCCCTAAAAGATCATTTTCTTGGAATCTTTGGGACACAGTTTGGTAAAAAACTAATATTTTTTGTTGTTAAATGAGTTTGATGACGGCCTCTGGCTTTTTAACACTAACACTTTTAATGCTGCATGTTTGCAAAATCCTTAGTAACACATTTTTTTTGGGTGTTCTTGTTGTTGTTGTTATTGTTATTGTTCTGACTAAAGGTTTACTCGGTCAGTTCAGAAATGACCACAAACTGTTCAAAGTTCATTTCAAATTTAGCAAACATTTATTCAGATAGAAAGGGTCTCTAGTTACATTTTGAACGAAAAAACTCATGTGAAATATTGTAAACGCCACTTCTCCACATTTACCTGTTCAAGTGAAAGAATGTTTCACTTTTTAATTCTTTTCAAAGAGCCGGTTTGTGCTTGTTGTGTTTCAGTTTGAGAAGTGTGTGTGTTCGGCTGCATTTCCTCTGAAAACCAAACATAATTTAAACCACAAACAGCTCAGTCTGTGAAAGATGAAACTCATTTCCTCCCCGTTAACCCTTTAAACTCCTCTTCCTCCTCTCAGTGGAGATGCAGCCCGTCTGTCTGTGTGGAATATTCTTTACAGTATGGACTTAGCAGAACAGCTTCATGGAGCGATATACAAGTATATTTTCAAGTATCTTTTATGGAATAAATTTGGTTAAAAAAAAAAACTGGATTTCTCTTTATTTATTTCTCCAAGTTGTGGTGGCTCTACTCTTCAGCCACCTCCCTTGTGTGTGTGTTTTCCCTTTCCCTGTCTGTGTGGGCGTGGTGGCTGTCACTCCTGGCTCCCGGCTCAATCTCCACCTGCTGCAATCAGCTGTACACACCTGATTTCCATCAGCCATTTACTAATGGCATATCAGCGGAGGCTCCACAACCTGTCAGCGCCAGATCGTTGTTTAAACCCCAGTGGTAAAACTCTCAGCCTTCTTAGCCTTATTAGCTATTTTTCTCTACACTGAATGTTATTCTCACGTGTTTTTCTTGTGCTCCAGGATCACTCTCCAGCCGCCTTGTTGCCATCACCAGCCGCCACCAGTCGTCATTCCTGCCGGATTACTCTCCACGCTCCTCCACCTCAAAATAAACCTTTTTTCCAACACTCTGCCGTGTCCTGCGTTTGGGTCCTATCAGATAACGTAACAGAACGATCTGGCCAGTATGGACCCAGCGGACACAGGCCACCAGTCCAAGACTGCGGACGAACTCAGCCAAGCCCTGGCCAATCAAGGCGCTCTCGTGGGGCATCACGACGTGGTTCTCCGTGAGGTTGTGGAGACTCTCCGGAACCTCTCCGCTAACGTGCAAAGGATCGGCACGCAAGTAGAACTGCTCACCTCACAGTCTTCTCCCCTGCAGCCCGCTGCACAGCCGACAGCCCCTCCCCCCGCTCCTGCCGCACCTCTCCATCAGCTACGAGAGGCTGTCATTCCTACACCGGAGCGATACGCTGGAGATTTGGGTATTTGTAGAGCCTTTTTGTTCCAGTGTTCGTTAGTTTTTGAGCAGCAGCCTAGTACTTATCATGCAGATGGGGCTAGGGTAGCATATGTAATGAGTCTGTTGAGGGGGAGTGCTTTAGATTGGGCTACAGCCGTTAGGGAGAGCCAGCCACACATTTGCTTATCATTTGATACTTTCATTTCCGAAATGAAAAAAGTTTTTGATCACCCGTTACGGGGGAGGGACGCTTCCAGGCACCTTCTTTCTCTCCGGCAGGGCTCCCGTAGTGTAGCCGAATTTTCAGTTGAGTTTAGAACAGTTGCTGCTGACTCAGGCTGGAATAACGAGTCATTGCAGGATGTTTTTCTTCATGGGCTGAACGAAGCAATTAAAGACGAGCTAGCTGCTAGGGATGATCCAGTTAGCTTGGATAATTTAATTGCCACAGCTATCAGAGAGAGACGTAGGGATAGGAATAGCCGTCACCCCAATCCCAGCTACTCCTCACCTGATCCCCAAATTGGCACTGCCACTGCCCCAATCTCCAGATCCTTCCCAACTCCTTTCTCGGTTTCACCCCCCGAAGATGAGCCCATGCAAGTGGGAAGGGCCCGCCTCTCACCATCTGAGCGGGCTAGAAGGATCCAGGCTGGGGAATGTGTTTATTGCAGCCAAACCAGTCATCTCGTTTCCTCCTGTCCTAATCTGCCAAAAGGTCAGGCTCGTCAGTAGCTGTGGGGATTCTGGCGAGCCCTTCCTCCTCTCTCAACCCCCGACCCAGAACGCAGCGTGCTTTGCTGCAACCAACAGTCACTACCCCTGCTCGCCTTAGTGGACTCGGGGGCGGACGAGAACTTTTTGGACATTGACATTGCAGCTCAGGCAGGAATTCCCTGCGAAGTGTTAGATTCACCTCTTAATGCCAATGCTCTAAATGGAAAATTCCTGGCCCAAGTCACTCACCGCACCAAGCCAGTAAACCTCATTCTGTCTGGAAACCATCGTGAGTTTATTCAGTTTCACCTAATTTTCTCACCTCATGCTCCCATAGTGTTGGGCCATCCCTGGTTAAGAACACACAACCCCCAGATTGATTGGGTAACTGGCAAACTCATTAGTTGGAGTTTTTTTTGTTTATCCTCATGCCTGCAGTCTGCCCTACCGCCAGCAGAGGCCACCGCTCCACCACCCAAGATCGAGCCGCCTGACCTGTTATCTGTCCCCACTGAATATCATAACCTAGGAGAGGTGTTCAGTAAACAGCAAGCTCTTTCTCTTCCTCCTCATCGACCCTACGACTGTCCCATTGACCTCCTTCCCGGGGCCCCTCTGCCTTCCTCACGTCTGTTCAACCTGTCTTGCCCTGAGAGAAAATCCATGGAGAGTTACATCCATGACTCCCTGGCTGCCGGTGTCATCCGCCCATCCTCCTCCCCGGTCGGTGCTGGTTTTTTCTTCGTGTCCAAGAAGGACCGCTCACTGCGGCCCTGCATTGATTACAGGGGTCTCAATGCCATCACTGTAAAAAACAAATATCCATTACCCCTCATTAACTCCGCCTTTGAACCCCTCCAGGAAGCCACCATTTTTTCCAAACTGGACCTCCGCAATGCCTACCACCTCGTCAGAATCCGTGAAGGGGACGAGTGGAAGACTGCCTTTAACACACCACTCGGTCACTTTGAGTATCTGGTGATGCCTTTTGGACTGACGAATGCCCCAGCAGTTTTTCAGTCGATGGTGAACGATGTGCTCCTTGACCTCCTCAACCGGTCAGTCTTTGTCTACTTGGATGACATTCTCATATTCTCTCGTAACAAGGAGGAGCACATTATCCATGTCAGGCAGGTGCTGCAGAGACTCCTTAAAAACAGACTCTTTGTGAAGGCGGAGAAATGCGAATTCCATGTCAACACAGTCTCATTCCTGGGCTCAGTTAAACAGCTTCAACAGTTTCTTGGTTTCGCCAATTTCTATCGGCGCTTCATCAGAGACTACAGCAGAGTGGCGGGCCCTTTAACCAGACTCACTTCCCCTACAACTGTTTTTTTCTGGACCCCAGAGTGCGATGCAGCCTTCTCGGAGCTAAAGAGACTCTTCACCACTGCCCCTGTGCTCATCCACCCTGATTCCTCTTGCCAGTTCGTGGTGGAGGTCGATGCCTCCAACACCGGGGTAGGGGCAGCTCTTTCCCAGCACTCGGAACGAGACCAAAAATTACATCCTTGTGCATTTTTCTCTCGCCGCCTCACTCCAGCTGAGAAGAACTATGACGTGGGTAACAGAGAGCTGCTGGCTGTCAAACTTGCCCTAGAGGAGTGGAGGCACTGGCTGGAGGGAGCCGAGCTCCCTTTTATTGTATGGACAGACCACAAAAACTTGGCGTACATCCAATCTGCCAAGCACCTTAACTCCTGTCAGGCTCGATGGGCCCTGTATTTCGGCCGCATCTCATTCACCCTTACCTACCGTCCAGGGTCACGGAACCTCAAGCCGGACGCTCTCTCTCGCCAGTTCGCTTCCGAAGAACCAGCTGCCAGTCCAGACACTATCCTGCCTGCCTCCTGCGTGGTGGCGGTTGTTACCTGGGAGATTGAGTCATTGGTTAAGGAGGCTCAGCGGGCGCAGCCTAACCCAGGTAACTGCCCAGCTAATAGTCTTTTTGTGCCTACCCCTGTTCGCTCCAAGGTCCTGCAGTGGGCACACGCCTCCCGTCTCTCGTGTCATCCTGGTGTCCATCGCACACTGTTTATACTAAGAAAACGGTTCTGGTGGCCTTCCATGGCTCAAGACACCAGGGCCTTTGTTGCTGCCTATACAGTATGTGCCCGCGCCAAGTCCTCCCACCAATCTCCCTCTGGCCTGCTTCGCCCGCTGCCGGTACCTAGTCGCCCTTGGTCGCATGTGGCCTTGGATTTTGTTACTGGACTTCCACTGTCACAAGGAAATACCATCATCCTAACTATTGTGGACAGATTTTCCAAGATGGTACACTTTGTTGCTCTTCCCAAGCTTCCCACAGCCCGAGAGACTGCAGATCTTCTGGTCAATCATGTTGTTCGACTCCATGGGATTCCCACCGACATCGTCTCTGACCGGGGTCCCCAGTTCATTTCCCACGTCATCTGGCTATCATCCTCAGACGAACGGGCAAACGGAACGGGCCAACCAGGATCTGGGGGCGGCTCTTCGCTGTGTGGCTTTCAGGAACCCTTCGTCATGGTGCCCACATCTGCCATGGATCGAATATGCCCACAACTCCCTGTCAAATGCAGCCA